TTCTTTAAATATTATACAATTACTATTTTATTATAATCTTATTTAAATTCATTATATATGATCTTGATATAAACAAAAAAAATAATATTTTATTCTCTTAATTATTCTAAAAAATAACAATATACATTAATCATTCAGATTTAATAATTTCTTAATAATTATCATATTTTATTAATTAATTAATTATTTATACAACAACTATATAGATTGTTTCGATTACCAAATTTTTTATACTTTTCTGATATATTTTTATTTGAACTTTTAATTATCTAAGTACTTATTTTTTTTATTGAAAATACAGTACTTTAGTTTTCGACTTAAGGTTAATTTTTATTCAATAAACTTGAATAGTTTCTATGATTAATATAATATATAAGAACTCGTTATTATTATATATATTGATTTTTCAATACAATACACTGTTTATTATAGAATATGTGATATTGATTGTTCCTAATCTCTTATACAAGATTTCTAAGGTTATTAATAAGAATAGTTGATATTAAGGATGTATTTAATTATAAAATATATTAAAAAAGTCTTTCTTCCTGATTGTATAATTATTCTATATATTTTATTTGTTTCCATAAGTTTACTACATCGTAGACAACACTTAATTAAAATATGAGAAGATCACATGTTAATAATTAATATTTCATAATTGCCATGAACTTACAATCATAGATTATTATATTCAATATCCTTTTTCTTGAAACAATAGCATACTACTTATCTGTTTCATAATCAACTCCAACGATTACACTAAATAATCAAACCATTTCATAATTTAATTCAACATTCAAATACAACACAACCATATAAATAGAAGGAGAATTCTTCTAATTTCTTATTGTAGAATTTCAGTAAACCTCAAATGATTAATCAAAAGTAGCTCTTTTATTTAATCGAAAATTTCCAACATTTGAGATCAATAAAACCTTATAATTCAAAGATATGGATTATGACAGGTATTAATTCAATATATTTACTTAAGCTTTGCACTAAATAAATAAAACCATTATCTCTTGATTAATAACATGATTCCTTATAAATTTATTACAATTCTCAGTAATATTACAATTACTTTTGATTTAATGTTAACAGGTACTAATACATCAAAATGTTTAAATAATTGCAATAATAATGGGAAATGTATTAAAGGAAGATGCTACTGTATATCTAATTTTATAGGAAAAGATTGTTCATATAAAGCAACAGAATTAGAAATTAAGACTTGGAAAAATCAAACTTTATCAAATTAAGTAACATTTTTTTATTATCAATAAAAGGAAAACTCAAAGGAACTAAATTTAACATTTTATGTAAACTTTCGAAATATTTTTATAGACTGATAGCTAAAAAAATATAAGTGTTTTAGAAATCATTTCTTCTTTTATCTCATTACCTACTTAAAGATTTTATGATTTCTAAGGAAAATTTAATAAGACCATGCCTCTTTCTCAAGTAATTAGTTCAAAAGGTTTTAATGATTATGATGAAGATGATTTTTTGGGTGAAGACACAGATAATGATAATGAAGATATATAAACAGGAATTTATAAATATGAGAATAATTTACCTGTTAGATTAATAATTGCAGTTTTTTGTGAAATCCCTAATACTTAATTATAAATATCATTTAATTAGATGTAGAAAAAAGATCGTCAAAATTTATTAGTATGGTTAATACCTACAATTATAGGCACAATAATAATTCTAACTGGAATAATCATTTTAGTGTGGCGTTCATATAAAAAAAAAAAAGAATCTTAAAATCCTTTTACATAAGTATAATCAGTATCTGATGATGAGATTTGTCATATTTGTTAAACAAATCTTTAGAAAAAAAAAAATAAAATTGTTTCATTAAAATCTTGTTAATAAAATCATAATTTCCACTAAAAATGTCTATCTCAATTTTATAATAATGAATCTAACTAATTTTTATGTCCAAAATGTCCATAAATAATTTCGAATTAGTGATTCATTACAAATACTATTTACCATGATGATTATTATTGTTTATGTACTTATATTGATTTTCAATTAGATAATATTTAAATTTATACCAATAAGTAATATAGAAAAATACTCATCAAACATATTAGTTTTAAAATTATCATTCCATAACTTATCTACAACAAGGACAAATTGAATAAATAGTATTTGTATAATAGGTTCTCCAAAGTGTCAAACATTATATATGAAATATATGATTACAATCTAATTTAGCTAATTGTGTTAACTAATTAATATCAAAATTATCCAAACATATAGGACACTCTTAATAATTTTATATATCCTCTTGGATTGGATTTGAATATATGTTATTTTAATTTTATTTATCTGATCTCTATCGAAAACAACGGTATGCAATAATCCCAAAACATGATAAAATAATAACAGCTATACTCAATATTACTAACAATTTAATCAATTTTTAATCTTCTTCATCAACATATTCATCAAACTCAATTTATATACAACATTTTGCATTTTTATTAGATATTATTTTTATCAATAAAAAATATGTTTAGTTTGCAACATTTTAGATTTATTCATTATCAATAAGATTAATATTTGATTTTATTTTATATTTGGCAATTTTCTTATCGTTTATAATTTCATCATAAGTATTATTGGAATCAGAGGGTAAATTAAATTTTTATGATATTAAGATTTGCACTCTCACATCAGTTATATTCTCCCATTTTTTAGAAAATTTAATAAGCATATTGAAACCAATAGTATAATTGAAACTCATATATATGTATTAAAGCATTTCATTATCATTTTTTTATTGAAACTTTTAAAATGGAATAATTTATAATCCTTTTTATGAACAATCATCATCTAAATATCCAGAATTACATAGACAAACACCATTCTATTTTTTAATTATATTTATACTTTACAAATTCCATTATTATTACAATTATTAGGACATGGCATTTAAGACAAATTCTAAATAATTAATTTATATTTAGTAGTTTGATTAGTCAATATCACTAAGAATTAACTAAATTCAGTCTTATTTTCTTAATCTAGTACAATATAGTGATATTTTTTTAATTACTATTTTCTATTTTTATATTCTCATTAAATACCCATAAATGTCTGCATTCTCATATCTAATTTATTTTTTTGATGAATTGTTTTCAAAGCAAGGAGCCTCTTAATAAGATTACAATAATAGTATATTGGCTTATTGTTTTCTTGTAATGACAAATAATTCGATCAAAACATATCGTAGTTACTTTGCCTTGTTTACCTTAAATAATAAGGTTTGATTTATTTTTGTTTGTATGAAATTCTATTCCCATGGTTAATAACCAATGTCAATTTGCATAAATTATTCACAATTGCATAATTAAAGAATTAAAGTCAAGATTAGGATTCTCATAATTGTTATATTTTATTCTATAAATATTAAAGAATGTCAAGCATTTACGTAATCTTATTTTAATCTTTTTAAAATTAATCTATATTTTTTCCTTTTATAATATTTAACCATATTGATACAGATATTAAATCATTAAATTCGTATGAATTAATTGAGATAAAAATCAAGCAAGTAATCAATTTCGATAGAAATTTTGATTTATTTGACCAAAATTAATACTTATAAAGAGTTCTAGTTCTAAAATTTGATGAATAAAGTTGATGAATTATTGTCAATAATGATTTTACAAATATAGACGTTTGAATATATCTTAGAATCTTTTTCTAAAAAAGTGACATAATAAATCAATGTATAAATTCTTAATTAATATATTAATTAATTGAAGTAGCTCTTTTTAACTCAAGCAAATAAGTATAATGTAAATTAATCCATAAAAAAGAAGTTAACACTAAATTAACCAAAAATGGTTAATATATATGATAAGATGTTAAGAAACTATATAAAATTAGCTTATATTAAAATACTATTAATAACAGATTGAAATATGAATTGATTATGTAGAGATTTCATATTTTAAATCTTAATTAAATAACAAAGAAGATAAACTTAATTAGATTAGCTCAATAATTATTTTATAGATTTAATCATGTATATGTCTGGTTATCACATAATTACACAATTATTACAACAATAATCTCTTATTTTTGATTTATTATGTTATTCTAGAATGATCGAACTCAATTATTATATTTCATCGCTTGTAGGATAATCTTCTGAAACCAATTCAACTATTTTAGATATTACAACCTCAACGTTTATGTTTTCTTTAACTGATGTTTCATAGTATAATAAGTTTTCCTCTTCTATTAACTATTATAATTCATTTTCTTAAAATTATTTATCTAAATCACACTTATTTCCTATATTATCTATTTAAATATTGTACCAATCAAAATTTTGTGTTAGACTTTAGAGTCTATTTTATTGACTAAATCAATCCAATATTTAACATCTTGAAAAGAAGAGAGTTTATGTTGATCAAAAACAATTATTACTGCATTAGCTCCTTTTATGAAAACCTCTGTTACTACTTGGAATTTCTGATCTCCTGACGTATCTTATAGATTTAACATGAAATTTTTATTTTAGAGAACAATAGTTTTTGATTGGAAATCTCTTCCTTTTAATAGGTTTATGGGTATATCTTGAGATGTCACATACTGATTTGAATTGAGATAGTCACAAAACTTATTTATTAATTAAGTTTTGCCAACTCCCATATTACCAATAACCGTAATTTTCACCTTATGTTATTGTTATTTATTGGATTTGTTATGTTTATGCATACAAATTTTATAATTATTAAATTTGATGATAATCAATTAAATTACTAAGTGGTTATCATTAACTTATTTTTAAGTTTAACTAAAGAATTATATGTTTTATAAATTAAATATGTATTAATAAAAAAAATGAAAAGAAATGCAATTTTAAATTGGAAATAAAAATAATATTGAAGTAAATGTTACGAGAATAAAATAATCACAACATAAATTATATATTGAAAATTAGGGCATCACAAATCAATAGAGATGAATCAACAGCATGAAGAATCTTATTTTTCTTAAACTTAATTAGCAGATGGATTTAACTTATTAAAAGTATTATTTGATTATTATGGAAGTTTTTCAATTTATTCTTTAATTTATTTGGCAATTTATTAAAATGTATCATTAATATTAGTTCCTTCCTTTGCACTTGTTTCAAAATAAGGTATATTATATTTTTATGCCATCTTCATAGCTTATTCATAAGTTATACATCTATCTGGCAAATCTGTTTTGTTTCCTAAATATCATAATAATATTCTAAATTAACCTATTAATACTTTTATGATATTGTCACTTGCATGTTATTTAATTTGATTCATCCATTTCTCAATATCATGAAAAGATTCTTAATCATTTACTGCAAATACTAGTATAATTCCCATAGCCCCTTTGTAATATGTTTAAGTAATAGTTTAATAACGTTCTTAACCAGCAGTATCCCAAATTTACATTTTAATGACCTTCTCATCCACTGATATTTTTTTGATTTTAAAATCGATTCCTTATAGATTAGAAAAATTAGAAAAATACCTATTGTACTAAGAAATGAAGTTTTAAATTGATTTTCTGTATATCTCAATAATATTTAGGTTTTCCCAACTCCAGAATTTCCAATAAGCAAAACTTTCATCAATAAATCATATGTATCCTTAGACTTTTTCACCAGTGATGACATTGTTATTTTTAATAATATAAATGTTGTGAATTCAATTAAATTAACTTCTATAATTTACAATTTAAATAGTAAAAAATAATATAATAAATAAATCAGATACTGAGTCGATTAAAAGTATCAATTAACTTCTCTTTAGTAGCAGGCTTAATCAAAACACTATTAAATCCTTCATTTATGCTCTTCTATTAATCTTTAATACTACAGAAACCAGTAACTGCAACAACAGGAATGGTTCTACATAGATGTATTTCATTTTCTATTTATCGAATTCTTTATACAGTTTCCCATCCACTCATCATTGGCATATTTATATCCATCAAAATACAATTATACCCAATACAACTTTATTGATTACATCTTTTAAGTAATTGAGTTTGTACTTTTTCAATTGCTTATTTCCCATTAAAAGCAAAATCTATATCAAATCCTAATTATTTAACCATATGTGATAGAACATCAACATTGAATTGTTCATCATCAACAATTAATACAATTTTGCAATTACATTAATTTATTAATACATCTAATTATAATTCTGATTAACCCTATTTCTCTGTGATCTAAAGATTATTACATTTATTATAATTCATCACACGAACTTATTAAGTACTTTAAGCATCTACATAAGGAACTGTGTGATTATTTGATTTTTATAAGAAATTTGAGTTCAGATTTTATTCTTCATTATATTTTAAAAGAAAATTAAATCGAGTACCTTCATCTTTTATAGATTCTACAGAAAGATAATTCTAATTTTTGGGAGCCATTAACTTAATAATTTATTTACTAACAGACAATCCCAAACCAATACCAACTGAATGTTTAGAAACTTTTTCATCTTCATCAGTTAAATGTAACTACTCTAATTAAAAGGAATACCTTTTTTCTTAAAATGCTTAACTCATTCTCTGTCATACCTATCCCAGTATCATTGACTTAAACTTCAAGTAAATTATTATCCTATAAATTAGCTGAATTTACATCTATTCCTTCCATTGATTCAATATATTCCTACTTTTAAACTATAATAGTGATTCCTCCTTTAAAAGTGAAACGTATTGAATTTCCTATTAAATTTAAGAGTACTTAACACAATCTTTATCTATCTCCACTTATAATATAAGAAGTTTCAGGTAATTCAACATTAATTAATAAAGATTTTCTTTCAATTTAATTTTTAAATAAATCCACACATTCTAAAATAACTGTATTGATATCAAATTTATCTGATTTTAATTAAAAACTATCTTCTAAAATGTCTCTATAATCAAAGAAATCATATATCTTATATTATTATAATTTTGTGTAACTCAATGCTTGTTCTAATTAAAGATGACAAGATTCTTATGTTAATAATTTATGCTAACTTTATTTGATATATCCAAAGACTGCATTAAGATTTGTTAGTAATTCATGAGATATGGATCTTAAAAGATTCTTTTTAATTGATTCTAATTTTTTTAATTTTGCTCTTAATAAGATTTAATTTACTTCATGAATGAAATATATTTACAATTCATCATCATTATCAAAAAATCTACAATTTTCTAATACATTAATTAAGAATTTCATTTTATGAACATATACTGGTTTTGTTTTATTTACTAAATTCATTTCTCCATCTAATAAAGATTATTTATGACCAGAATTTCTATATTCTTTACTATTCAATAATTAATCAGCAGATACTTTTCGACTTGGAGTCATATTAATATTTTACTTAGATATTTTATTTGGAAGATTAGATTTTTTACGTGGACTTTTCTTACCTGCTGATGATAATAAATGAAATTATGGAGGATTATTAACTTCAATTTTCATTGTAACATCAGAGGTAAATGTTTTTTTTATTATGGATTCATCCTCAGGATTTTTAAAGGATTGGAAAAATTTTTAAAATTGAACATGATTTTTAGGACGATCTGTTGGAATTTCAAAAGAAAAAGCTTTAGAATATTATATTGAATTCTTATCTTTACTATAATTTACATTCTTAATTTTGTATTGATCATCAAAATATAAATCATCATCATCAAAATCAAATTAAACAAATTTTTAATTATTATTATTTAATTCATCTAATTATAAATTTTATAAAAATGTTAATTAATTTTTAGTAGAGTTGTTAGTAGCTGTTTTTTCTGGAGATTAATCAGTTTCAGATTGATTTGTACTTTCTAATTTATATGCTAAATTATCAAATACTTTATTGGAATAGAGTAACCAATTTTTATCTTTATGAGCTATACACATAGCTTAAGGTGTAGAATCTATTATTAAAAATAATGCTTATAAATTGAGGAAATGTTGCATTTATTATAGTTCTTTTCTTATAATTTACATAAATAATAAAGTAATGGTAAAATATAATCCTTCAAAAGATGATAGATCTAAAAGTAATATAGTTTAAATTAAAAAGATTATAATAGCAAATACTTTCCATAATATTGTTGAATACATGCTTTGGAAGATGATACAAATGGTTGTATAAAACATAATGTAACTTTCATCTAATAGAAAGTAACAAAGTACACAAAAACATTCCTGTTATATTAAAGGAACAAGTTATAAAAAATAGGATTCTTTATATAAGAATTTTGGAAGACAGAAAAATAGGATTAAATGAATGAAAATCTGAATTCCAAAAATGATCCATAATAGTTAATTATTAGCAACGATCAATAATTTAATGGTGATAAATATTATCTACATTATAATTAATGGTCTGAATGAAAGATCTGCCCACTAAGTGTAGTTGTGCCATTTCCAAGATTAATATTATTAGTTTTTGAAGGTCTTCAGATATTTAAGAATAGCCTTATAAAGACTTTGACATTTGAGCATTGTTTTATTAAATAAAATATATATAATAGTTTATATATATATTGATTAGATGTAATAATATTTTTAAATTAATTTAATCTCTCACTTGTTTTTTTTTCAATACTCAACCTTATAACAAAAATGAAAGAAGAAGAAAATTAAATTATTAAATAAGTAAAAAATATCTCATACTCTTTTTTAGGAAGAACAATAATTATCTATTCAACACTATCTGATACCATTTAACTACACTTCTATACCTAATGAAATAGGACATTATTAATTATCATTGTAAGTCTTATCAGAAGAGAATTATCATTTACGTAAATTACTCAATTAATAACGTCAAATGATGTGTTTGTCAAAAGAATAATTATATGATGAAGTCTATAAAATGATTGATTTCCTCATGAAACATTTCAACTATCTATCTAAAGAATAGATCTTTGCATATTAAAAAACTTTTCGTTTTTGGACCTAAAAAAAGGAACTTAAATCTATTTTCTTTTAGATTTTCACTAGATACTTATAAGTATACAAGTAGCATCATTTATATTTAGGCTATAAAGACTAAGGAAGAAATGATAAAATTTATTATTCGTAAAAGTATAAAGTACCAAAAATAAAGTCAAAATAAGGAATAAATAAAAGAGAAAAAAGAAATCAAGAAAATGAATAATGCATTCGTCAAGCAATTATTCTAAAATACTTCATATTAATAAAATTATTAAAACTTTTTAAGTATTAATATTACATCCGATTTAATTAGATTAATATCTCTAATTGGCATTGAATGAGAATTAATAGAAGATTAAAAAATACGTAGTTTATATTATAGATATGATATTATCCAATCAACTTAATGTAATAATAAATATATTATTTTAGTAAATCTTAAATTACAAAAGATTTCCTTGGCTTAATGATTGGATAAATTAATCAGTTTAAATAGCATAAGAATTAGAAAATCTTTAAAATTAAGAACCTAAAAAAAGAAAGATTTGATTACTAACCTACCAAAAAAAATGATAAAATTATAATTTTGTATTAGTTTAAAAATGATTTAAAAAAATAATCATTTAATAAGTTGAATGCAAACAGGACTATCATATTGACATTAGATTTAAGCAAGTTGATAGAACATAGCAGCAACTGTCCATGATGGTGAAATATTCTCTATTTTATCAGGACTATAAATTAATTAATCCTTGTTTATTCCATAACCATATGATAATAATTCATCAACATAAATACTTGAGAAGAAATCTGTTGTAATATATGGATTGCTAATATATTCTGGTATTTATTCTATATCTGACCATAATAAAGATGTGAAACTAAACACCTTATTTGAATATTGAGTTAAAGTGTAATTTTCAAAACCAAACAAACTTACCATACTCTAAACTCCACTAATTGCATAAATAATATTTCCATCAATTTTAGGTTGATATTGACCATTGATACCACAATTAGAATGTTAACAATTCTATGGATCATTATTAAGATATTGTCTAATAAGTTTCTTACATTCTGTATAATTCCCTTATCCAATAACTCTAAATCTTGCATCATGCTCATATACATTTTCATACCCATTAAAATAACATGGAGTAGTAATAGTAAATGTATCATTGTCTTAAAATTATTTATGCACTTGAATTAATGCTTAATCCATTCCATAAAGTAAATAACTACTACTAAATATTTCATATTCATTCAAATTAGGTATAATAAGATCCATAACTCCATCCTCAATTAATCCTTTAGGTTTGAAAGATATCTATGTAGAAGCTCCACCTAAATCAATAGTTGTTGCTTATTCTTAATTTGACATTTTTTATAGTAAGTAATTAAGTGACAACCACATATAAGCACCCTATATTTAATAGAATTTTATATACTTCTTCTTATCCACTTATAACTCTAGCCCATTATTCACTTAAGAAAAGTAATCCAGATTTAGAGAAGATTCGTTGAACTTCTTTGATAATATCAGTTTATTGTTGGATAGTCAACAGTCTCATTCCAGCAGTAGCACCTAACATTATTGGAGTATAGGCCATCATGGATTTGGGAATGTTAGCAATTGCAAAATCAATTAATGGTTAGAGATAATTAGGAATTTCATTAAGTTTAGAAGCAAAGGAAGCTAATCCTGGCTTTACTTTCTTTTCAATTGATTTTTCACTTAATGTTACATAGGGCATAGTTTAAGTCTCTCTACAATTCCACGAATAGACATAAACTCTAGTACCAGAACTGCCAGCATCAAACATTACTCCATTACATGTTGATGCTTAAATGTTCCATAGATTTGGTATTGTTCCTTTAGCTTTGAATCTTAAATTATTAGCTATAACAACTCCTAGCAACAATAATATTTATATCATAATAAATAATGGATCAAAAAGAAGATGAGTAATTCATGTAATTACCTAGACTAAAGAGTGATGACATGTAATTATAATTTCAACATCTAAATAATATAAACGATGATTAGCAATCCTATTTAGTTTAATCCACTATCTAATTTAGTCAAAATCCTCGTGTTATTTAGAGTGTAGTCACTGGTTAATATCAAAATTAAGATGAAGATTCTCTTGATTATTCACAATTTATGACTAAATCCTATACACAACAATCAGATTAAAAATAATAATAACTAGAGGATTATCTTCTCTTATAGAAAATTACTAATTCTACTTATGAACAAAATCAACAACCTTATGAAGTTGAATTTGTTAAACAAATAAATGGAGCTTTAGTATAATTTTGTATTTCTTCTCCTGCAACTAGAAAATTATTTGCAAATTAAGAAAAAGTAAAATCAAGAAATACTCTTACTTTGAATGCAAATAAAATTTGGTTAGAAAATCAATCAGAATGTTTTCATTGTATGTTTGATACAAAAACATTAAGAATCTTAATTTAATGTGAATCTACAAAAATACCTAGAGTTGAATTATTGAGTTAATTTCATTGTAATGATTTGTCTGAATTTGTTCGTATATTCTGTAAATTACCAGAAGTTAGAGATGCTATGTTAAGTTCATATAGTTTAAAAGAAACATCTTAACCAGATAAATATGGTATTAACACTGGATATTCAGAAGTGGTTACTGCATTAACTGAATATATGAAATCTATTGAAATCAATGGTCTTCCAAATACATCACTTATTGATGATATGGTAGAAAGATATCTCACTAGATTAATATATGAAAAATTATATCCCAAAGAACCAACAGCTAGAGATATAGAATTAAATATAAGACTAAAAACTTTAGAATGGATTACAGATGAACATTTAAGTATAAAAATTAAATAAAAAATTGATTAATAATTTGAATGTGCTGCATAAAGTAATATAAATATAATTTAAATTTAGTTATTAATCAAATTGAAATAAAAAAGAACTCTGTTGATAAATTAGATTGTATTTTAAAAGCTACTTAATTAATTACAGATACTATATCTTAAGTTAATTAAGAAGCAGCTTCTGCAGATACTGTATTTCCAGCCTTTATAAGAGTACTAATTTTAGCATAGTCTACAAGATTGTAAAGCAATATCAAGTAATTTATAATAATATTCAGTTTCATAGAACTTTTTATTAATAAATCAAGAATGATGAGTCATGCTGGATATTGTTTCACACAATTAAAGTCAGCCATTGTATGGATTGAAAATGTAAATTATGAATAATTAAAAATGGATCCCCATTAATTCAATAGACTGTAATAAGAAAAAAATGTTAAGTATGGAATGTGCAAACGAAGAGATAGAAAGAAAAGAATTCTTTTATTTTGATTATATTATTAAAATTAAAAATGGGAAGTATTTGTAAATAATAAGCTCAACAATAAATTGAAATTCAAAATGAAGTTAGACTTTCTAAAGGCTCTGAAAAAAAAGATTTAATTAAACGAAATACTGAAACTTCAGGAGGAACTTTATAGTATAATTAAAACAGCACTAAATAATTCTCTGTTAAAAAAGACCCTTTAGCTAGTTATATGAATGAAAGTTTAAGTGATTCTGATTCAGATTCTTAACAAAGCAAACCAAATCAATAAGTTTTTACCAATTTCGTTACTTTTTAAGCTCTCCCTTCATAAAAATAAATGATACCCAAATTTGAAGTGCTTAAAGATTAGTTTAAAAATGAAATGCTATAATAAATGAATTTGCAATAACAGAGAAAACAATTTTGAATGATTTATAATCATATCTTACTTAATATAATTCNGTCTGAATTTGTTCGTATATTCTGTAAATTACCAGAAGTTAGAGATGCTATGTTAAGTTCATATAGTTTAAAAGAAACATCTTAACCAGATAAATATGGTATTAACACTGGATATTCAGAAGTGGTTACTGCATTAACTGAATATATGAAATCTATTGAAATCAATGGTCTTCCAAATACATCACTTATTGATGATATGGTAGAAAGATATCTCACTAGATTAATATATGAAAAATTATATCCCAAAGAACCAACAGCTAGAGATATAGAATTAAATATAAGACTAAAAACTTTAGAATGGATTACAGATGAACATTTAAGTATAAAAATTAAATAAAAAATTGATTAATAATTTGAATGTGCTGCATAAAGTAATATAAATATAATTTAAATTTAGTTATTAATCAAATTGAAATAAAAAAGAACTCTGTTGATAAATTAGATTGTATTTTAAAAGCTACTTAATTAATTACAGATACTATATCTTAAGTTAATTAAGAAGCAGCTTCTGCAGATACTGTATTTCCAGCCTTTATAAGAGTACTAATTTTAGCATAGTCTACAAGATTGTAAAGCAATATCAAGTAATTTATAATAATATTCAGTTTCATAGAACTTTTTATTAATAAATCAAGAATGATGAGTCATGCTGGATATTGTTTCACACAATTAAAGTCAGCCATTGTATGGATTGAAAATGTAAATTATGAATAATTAAAAATGGATCCCCATTAATTCAATAGACTGTAATAAGAAAAAAATGTTAAGTATGGAATGTGCAAACGAAGAGATAGAAAGAAAAGAATTCTTTTATTTTGATTATATTATTAAAATTAAAAATGGGAAGTATTTGTAAATAATAAGCTCAACAATAAATTGAAATTCAAAATGAAGTTAGACTTTCTAAAGGCTCTGAAAAAAAAGATTTAATTAAACGAAATACTGAAACTTCAGGAGGAACTTTATAGTATAATTAAAACAGCACTAAATAATTCTCTGTTAAAAAAGACCCTTTAGCTAGTTATATGAATGAAAGTTTAAGTGATTCTGATTCAGATTCTTAACAAAGCAAACCAAATCAATAAGTTTTTACCAATTTCGTTACTTTTTAAGCTCTCCCTTCATAAAAATAAATGATACCCAAATTTGAAGTGCTTAAAGATTAGTTTAAAAATGAAATGCTATAATAAATGAATTTGCAATAACAGAGAAAACAATTTTGAATGATTTATAATCATATCTTACTTAATATAATTCATATAATTAATAAATTTATATTCATTTATATTTAATAATAATATTGTATTAATTCAGAAAATAGTTCTTAAAATTTATAAAATAAATAATTATCTATATACTCACAAAAATTCAACATATCCTTATGTATGAATAGGAATTGAAGATTAATTCAAGTGAGAAATCCATCTCTTTGTTTCTAATTCACTTTCAACATAATAAGCATTCAACTATTTAGCAAAATATTTGGCTTACTCATGATTTATATTTGAATTTGCTATATTAAATAAAACCAAATTTATATCTTCTCTTTAAGTATATTTTTAAATCTTCTCCAACAAATCTTCATTAATATTTGTAGAAAACTCAGAGAAAATACAAACATAACTTTGCATTATATCCTTAAATTCTTAATATTCTTATGATATTCGTGGAATTGTAATAGATTAATAAGATTGTTTTATATCATTACTATTTTATTTAGAAAAAGTACTCAATTTATATTTTAATAAATTGTAAAGACATTCTTAAATTTTACATTCACCTCCTTTCAAAATTTAGAATCTCTCAAATTATTTCAATAAGAATTTCCTATATTTTATAGATTATGAAGCTGGAAGCATCTCATATAAAGAATCATTAAATATATATAAACCTACTTCTCTTAAATTTTTTAATTATTATAATGTATAAGCACATATAGAATGTGATACTTATATTTATTCTAAAGAAACTTAAGATGAATAATCAATTAAAAAGAAAATCTTAAATTTTCTTGAATTTATATCTTGATACAATTTTTATAATACACTCTAATTAAGATTCAATTATAAAAAAATGTTCTATAGAGTCTTATATGCAAATGAATTCAATTTATATATGTTCTAACTATTTCTTTTAATAATCTTTATGCATTTTTCACTTGCATATTAATATTATTTATGTTGCATTAATAAACAGATTTTCAATTTTCTGATAGCATTTTATATAATTTCTTTTGATGTCAATTTAAATATATCAAATCCATTTAAAACTAATTTAGATTTCTCAGATATCACATATTATGAATAAAGGATTTTAATAGAATATAAGTCTGATTGAGCCTAATCTATTAAATTTAATTTTTTAAAGCAACAAAACTTCATAATTAATAACTATATTTTCATTCCTATAATTGATCTATTATCAGAATAGTTTTTATTTGAGATTTCCTCATATAATTCTTTAATTGAACAAATAGTTTCATTTAAAAAACTAGGCTATTCTTTAATACAAAATTTATATAACATTCTACAAAATGTATACTTCCTAAATAATATGGTTAATTTGTAAAATCTCTTTTCTTCCTTATATTTATCTTAATATAAATCTAATTGTTCTTGATAAATAATCTTTTCCAAAGAATTTTCATACTTTTTCTAATTAGTTTAACCAAATCTATCAGTTATTTAAATTTATTGAATTTCTGATTATTTATATGAATTTTATAACATAATTGATTAATATCTATTTCTATTCATGTGTTCAGATTGCAATATATAAGTACTTCCTGCTAATTTATTAATGACAAATCGTGTTAATTTCTTTTTTAATTAAATTAATATAGATTTCTAACTATTTAGTAATTATTTTCTTATTTTTTCAATTTATTTTATACTTGTATATTCTTCAAATCCAAATATTACAGATTTTACTTGAAATTTTAGTGCTTCAGTATATCTTTTGTTCTTAAAATGTACTTATGCAATGTTATTTGCACAAACACTAACTTACCAATTATTTTTATGATATTTATACACTTCATTAAGTTAAGATAAAGTCATTAAATAATGTGACCCTTAATCTTCATCAGAATAGAAATGTTATTATTTTAGAAGCTAATAATAATAGATATAAATTTGTAGACTTTCTTAAAGACGATTAATTTCTTTACAATTTTATTCATTTTACTTAAGTGGCATTGAATTGAAATGATATTTTAAGGGATTTTGTAATTATATTACCAATTTTTAAAGAGGAATGCAAATAGAATTGGCAACTTTTATAGATATTGTCCATACATACAATAAAAAGGTTAAACTCACAATAGATTGAGCAATAATTAATGAAAAATTATGATTTGTTTCATTTTCAGAAGAACCTGCTAATTATTTGAATTTTATAGTATCAAAAATCTTTATTGCTAATAATGTTGATATATGTTATTTTGAACATTTAATGTATTATTTTTATATTGAATAGAACCAACCATATATGAAATACTTTTATTAATAATACTATATTAAGGTATCTTTAATTAAACAGTTATAATTATCAAAATCTTATTTAATTATTAATTCATCTATAAATTTTCCATAATAATCTTCTAATTTATTTATTTCAATAGGCTAGAATTCATTATTAATGAATTAATAAAATTATTCATTAATCATGAAATAGTTTAATTGATTATACAATATTTCATAATTGCTATATGCATAATTAATCAACTTTACAATAGATGAAAATGTTTATATATTACAATGATTATTATTATTGTAGTTTAAAATAAATCGAAAGTTATGCTAATATAAATCAATGAAAACCTAATTAGTTGAATTCCATTATTCATATTGACTTTCTATTTGCTACATTGAGTATTCATATTAATTTTTGCATATAATTTTAAAGTTTTCAATAGTGCCTCTTTTTATTAAGGGATGTAAGAACCCATTAATCTAGTCCAATTTATTACTGAACTCTAATTATTAATTAGACATCATTAAATCTTATAGAATAAAGGCAACATTAGCTTTGATACCTAAATTTATCATTTCAAGTTAATGACTGAATCTAAGTGTAGTTTAAGTTGTTTCATTATAGATTGCAAATGATAATTGGTTAGCTTAATCAGAGAAGTTTGTGATAAATATTACATTTAAAGTTATTATTTGCAGTAAAGCAATAAAACCAACAGGTACAAATAATATTAAAATGCTCAATTTCAGTTTAACCTAAAAATCCATATTAAATAATAATGTTTCTTTGAATAATTATTAGTTTATAGTTTACTTATTAAATTAATATTGTCTTTCATAATATTCATCTCAAATCATAAACAAAAATTCGATGTTAATTTTATTAGTTATTATCAGTCTATAATTTTTAATAACTTAACTCTACTAAAATAAATAGATTCTATATTATTAAGCATATAAAGATATATTATTATTATAACATATATTTAAAATATATCATAAAAAATGAAATTAAAACCAATTTAAATGATTAATAATAATCTAGATCTATATTAAAAGATTATATAATTTTATTTATAGATTTGATTAGTTAATTTCAATTATTATTTTTAATATATTTCATATGAATTTTTTTATGGAAACTATGTAATTCAACAGAGACCTCAACTTAAATGTAATCAAAAATTCTATGACTAATACCTTATATTATAATATTCATTCTGTCTATAATTTGAGCTTCAATAGTTCCTTCCAATCCATATCTAGGAATCATTACAGTTACTTTGTCTGTCAAAATTCCTGTTATTATAGCTTAATCAATTTATTAAGATCTATTTTTAAAGAATAAATAAGTATGGTAATCAGATGAAGCTCTACTAGCAAATCTTGCCATTCTATGTCTCATATTTAATTTATCACAAATTCTTGTCATTCTAATTTTATTTGACATAGATGGAGGAAGAGATTCTAAATCAATAGATGCAGCCAATAATCTATGAACAAGTACATCAGCATATCTTCTAATTGGAGATGTAAAATGAGTATAGAGTTCTGCAGCTAAACCATAATGATAAAGTTCTGGATAATCAACATCTGCAGTACAAACATATAGAGCCTATGAAAAATAACAATATTTAAATTACTTCATTCATACATCTAGTAGTAATCATACGAATAAGTTTGTTAAAGAATGAATCATTTGGTCTTTGAATTTAGTCTAGAGAATCACTAAGTAATTTAGAAGTATCAAATGAAAATTGATATCCTAAATATTGTTATATATAAATAATTAACCTAAATCATTCATTAATATTTAAAGTTCTTTTAATTATTTCATTTTAGGTTCTTAATGTCTACGAAGAACTGAAATAGAAGGAAATCTTTATAAGATTTAACTAGCAACAGAACAATTAGCTAAAAGCATGAATTCTTCAACAAGTGAATTAGTTTCATATAATTAATACATTCTAACATCACTAGGATTATGAGTTTCATCATCAAATGAAAACTTAACTTAATTACTTGCTAATGATAATGCTCCTTAATCTAATCTAAGTTATTTCAATTTCTTAGCTAACATATTCAAAAGTCTTATGCTTTAAGTTAATTAACTATTATCATTTGGATTATCAATCATTTCTTATGCTTATTAATAATGTAATGAAGCAATAGATCTTATAACACTCTTACCAAATTTAACATCTTTTATATTTGCTTAATCATCCATTATCCAAATTACTGAAAATGCCAATCTATCAACATTACTAACTAATGAACATAGATTTTCAGTCAATAATTTTGGTAACATGTCTGTTCTTCTATCTACTAAATATACAGTTGTGCATCTATGAGCAGCTTCTTTATCAATTGCAGTATCTGGTCTTACAAAATGAGAAACATCTGCTATATGTACACCTACTTCATATAAATTATTCTCTAATCTTCTACAATGTAATGTATCATCAATATCTTTACATCCAACTGGATCTATTGAACATACTAAAATATCTCTTAAATCCATTCTTCTTTTAATCTCTTACTCTGATATTTTATATTTATCCTATTATTATTATTAATCAATTCATACCCCTTCAATTGGTAAACATGCCAATACTTAATGTGAGAATTCCCTTATTTCTACTTGATGTTCTAATAATATTACATTTCCTTCAATAAACATATCTCCTGCCTTACCCAATACTTTTTTTAATTTACATAATGGTTTATCACTCCATATTGGCCAATCTACAAATTAAACTTAAATTTTCTTATCCTAAAGAGTATCATATTTTGAATGTTTAAGAATAAAATTTGGATATCTACCATCAGCAGGTACAAATATATTATTCTCTACATGACCACAAAAATGTCTCTCTGTTCTCTATAATACACATACAACCTTTCCATATGGAATTAGATTTTATGTCTATACTTTCCTAAATAAACTTTACAAATGGTTTTTGGACATTATCTCATGATTAGTGTCATTCGTATTAGTATTATTATTATCATCTTCATCCTCTTCATCAAATGTTATTTATATTTACTTTTATTATAATTCCCATTGTTCTTCAGGTAATAACTCAACAGCTACTCTATCTCCATGTAATACTCTGTTCTATTAATTTATCTTTATTTCTAATTGAAATTGTTTAACAAATATTCTAGCCTATTTGATATTATTTCTATCTATAGATATTCTCCCTTCAAATAATAATCCTTATTTTATTTACTAAACACATTCTTCCACTGGAATATATTAAAATTAATTATTAATAGCCTCCTAGTTCTATTCAAATTCTTCATCCATTCCTAAAAAATCAAGTAAATCATTGTTCTCATATAATTTTACATAATCCTATATAGTAAAACATTTAATATTTAAATTCTTGCTTTATTGATGCATTTAATAATTTTAAGTCAACAAACAAAAATCTAGTTCTACTTTCAAAAATTATCTATGTTAATTATACCATTAAGCCAATAATATTAATGGATTACCATTTTAAGTATGAACTGAAAATTCATCATAATAAACATAAATTTTCTTTGAGAAATTAGATTCAATTAGATTAATTACTTATTATGCATACTATGATTACTATTATCTTTTTCTGAAATAAGCTACTTACGATTGTAATACTACAATATTGTTAATATTAGATTATTCAATCAAATCTATATATTATTCTAATATCTCATTATCTAACATATATATAGGATTCTCTAATTGGATTTCTGATTCTTGATTACAAAATGCACATCCTCTAATCTGACATGGTATATCACTCGATAAATATACTTCCTTAGCTTAAATCATAACCTAAAATCTCTTATTTAATCGTGGTTATGAATTTAGTTATACTTTCATTAATATAATTAATACATGTATTACCTATTATTCTTAATCCCAATTGCCTTCTCAAGTATTAGTCCAGCTGATTATATCTCATAATCTGATCGTCCCAAGATTGCCGCTCATCGTGGACTTTGCTCTATTTTTCCAGGTACTAATTATCTTACTATTTGATAGAAAATACTGCATAATCATTTGAGGGTGCAATGTTTTAAGGAACAGATTTCATTGAATTGGATGTAGTACTCAATAAGGAATTACAGTGTATAAATTAAGAAACTCATCCATTTTTATAGTGATAGTAGCACATGATACATTTATGACTGCTGTTTCCAATATTAAATCTATTCCAGAATTTGTATCAAGATAAAGAAAAAGAACAATTAATGGTGTTGTTAGAGATGATTGGTGGTTGATTGATTTTACAATTGATGAACTGAAACGGGTCGGTATTAATTAAGTATGAGGTTCCACAAGACCTAAAATGTTTGATGGTCTTTTTACATATCCAACTTTATGGGAGGTATTGACATAAGTTAAAGATTTCAACAATCGTACTGCTAATCAAAGAAATCCTAATAAAAAACCAGTAGGTATACTTTTAGAAATTAAAGATTATGAAGTATATATATATTATAATATGACGTAGTATCATTTAGAATATGCAGGAGTATCAATTGTTTAATTAGTAATTAATGAATTATCAAAATTTGGTATTGGGACCATTAAAGATTGTAAGAATGTAGTTCCAATTGTTATTATGAGTTTTGATATGAATGCTATAAAGGCAACAAGAGAATTGACAGATCTTCCAAGAGTATTTTTAATAAGTGGATTACAAAATTAACCATCTGCATTTTATGCTGAAGCTACAAAGTATGCAAACATTATTGGAGCTGATTTAGCATCAGTTTGGAATTCAAAGACATAAACAATTTAACCAGAAGTTAAACTTATAAAAGATAATTAAATGATGGTTTATGCTTGGACATTCTAAGATGATGCTAATGGAACTTAAAAGATGTTCAATGCAACAATTGCCAAAGACATTTACTATCAAGCAGTGAAAATGAATATTCACGGTCTTATTACAGAATTTTCAGATGTAGCAATTTAGTATGTTTAATTATATTAAAATTAATGAATAATTATCAAGATGAAGAAAGTGGTTTCAAGATTCAAGAGAAAATTTATACTTGGGGTCGTTTTCTATTATTCTTCTTAACTGGCCTTATTCTATTGATAGTTTCGTTTCCTTTTTCAGGATTTTTACTTGTCAACCCCTATCCGTTTGTGCTATTATTCTCATTAGGATCATTACTTATTTTAATAGCCATAATATAGGTTACTGAATACAAGACCATCTTTAGTTAAGCTGGAACTGTAATATACTTCATAGCTTTATTAAGTGGTTTATATACAGGAGTATTTAAGATTGGATATTTGACAACATTAGGAATAATGATTGTATAAATATTAGCACTCTTATATTTAATGGCTGCACTTTTACCAGGAGGATAAGCAGGATTGAAAAATTACATACTCTCAAAAATCAAAACATGATTATACATAAAAATTGGGGTTATTATATTGAGTAATAAGATAAAATCAATTCTCATCATCATCATCCGTTTTTATTCTTTTAAAACAATTCTCCCCAAAAATGATTCCTTTTGGTTTTGTTTCTCTCACTTTCACTTCATCTTCATCCTCATCATTATCATTTCTTTTTCTTACAATCTTACTAAAATCTAATCTAATTTCTTCTCTTATCACTTAAACAGTCTATTATTAAGGTGCTTATTCTTCTGAATCATCATTTTCATAATATTTTAAATCTTCCATTTACATTCTTATTTTTGATCCATCCTCTAATTGTACATATGAATATTGTTATACCAACTTTTAATATAGAGGATGATCTTATAGATTCAAATTCTTTACTTAAATAACCTAAATTATAAATTAATATTTATACTATATAATGACTAAGTGTTGTATTAGTTTTAATATATTTTATAATGTCTCTTATTTAACCTTCTAATATTCCATGTATTCTTCCACTTGATGATATTTGAATAAATGATTCACAATAAGGTTTAACAATTTAAGAATAATTTGATGTACATAAATATTTAAAATGTTTTAAGGCTGGCATTATCATAAATTTATCCTTTATTATTAATTTTTATTGTTAATTCAAAATATTTAAAATATGATTTGAAAGTACTATCAATTCTTATGAAAATGTTTTTTATTATTAACAAATAAGTTAAACAATTTCTTATAATGATGCAGCTGCTGATGCATTTAATTTCTAATTAAAACATTTCATTAACCAATCTATTCCTTAACTAAGTATTGCTTAATTTAAACATATATATTGTATAATATCTATTATCATACTATGTAGAGTTGTCATATTACTAAAAAGTAAGGCTTCCATACTTTACCAAAAGAGTTACTGATTTTATTTCAAAAATTCTTAAAAATATTGTGAATTTGAATTTCCAATCATTATTGTCAATTATAATGTTGTAAAACATAATTATTATTATTAATTTTCTAAAGTCTTTGAAAATAATGCTCTTAATAAATCTGTTTTACCTATGCAATTAACAAATGCTTCATTTAATGATTAAATCTATAAAAATTATTTAAATGACAAAAAGAATTCATTTATAAACTTACAATTCAATTCCAAATTATCAAGAAAACTAATTAAATATTATTCAAATTAAGATGAATGATTTAACAATAAACTTTCTAATATTGATTAATTGTTCTAATTAATGTAGAAATTAAATTAATTATAAATTGGATCTTCTAAATAGAGATAATATGCCATAACACTTTCTTTTAAGTATGATAATCTATAATTAAAGTGAATTTTCTCCATTATTTCATTATCCAAATCTGTTATTTGATGAAATTTTAATTCTTAACTCAAAAAATTTCTATATGAAACTCTTTATGGTCCTTTGTTTTCAGAATGATCTAATTTTTTAATATATTATATAATACATTCCATAATTCCAAATAATGTCATATAAAATTTGTCACTCAACAATTTCTTTAAGACATTTTCATTTTTTAAATATACTAAATTCATACATTAAATATAAATACTTAAATTCCTTATTACATAATGCAATTGTTCTAATGTATGTAAATGTTGCTATTATTCAGAATCTTAAAATATTTTTGCTAAGGCTTCTAGAAAAGTGTTATGTGGATCAGTTGTTAGTTTCTATATTATTAATTCAGGATTATCACTGATCCATAGTTAGACTGCTTCCAAATTCTATTGAGATGGTATTATAGGATAAGTTGATTCTGGATCATCGTATCGAAAATGTCTTTTACTATTTTATAATTAATTCCAAAACTCTTATGAATACCTGCAATCAATAAAACTGATTGCTATTTCCAATTTCAACTCAATTTCCTCCCAAGAGATAATATTATCGCCTTGCTACTCATAAGTTATTTCTGGATTCACTTTTAAATTTATGCACCAATCTTCCTTGTTGATATTCAAATGTGAATATGTCACTATATTGTTACATTACTTCAATTATTTTTCCATTATCCCTCTTATAAAAGTAGCACCATCTGTATGCACAATTTAAACATACCCTACGCAAATCTCTTCCCATTGACGGTCACTATGTACGAACACTTTAGCTTTTGAAGAACTATTCATTTTTAATTTATTTTATGTAAAATTCCGCTCATAAATTCTGGGGGGGTATCCTCCTTATTAAACTGGAGAAATATTATAAACCAAATTCTTTAAATCTTATAATACTCATTCATCAAATAAAGTTGGTTCTTTGTATTAAATATATTATAGTATTATAAATATATACCTCCACTCATATTCATATTTAAAAATATAATTATATCTCTATAGAAGACTTTACTCTTTAAAAATACTTTATAGTAATACTTATTAATTTATATTCTTATTTTCATATACATAGAAGTGATACAATTATGTAATAGTATTTTTATAAATATAACTAGTAAAAAAAATTTTTAATATTTTTTATATCATATTTAAATCATTTTAATTCAATTCAAAAATCATAAATTAGAACTAATCAATTATCTAACTCAAATTAGAATATTATGAAAATCTTATAAATTTAATATTTAATTCATATTTAAATAAATCTCATTGCCCTTCCTGTTCTTTTCTTAATTGTAGATAGAAAACCTCGATCCATATAATTCTAATTATATTTACGAATTTATTAATCATAATTGTTTTCATTGAAATATTAATTAAAATCCTTCATTTTATCAAAAACAATTGTTTAATTTTAAGGTGTGTCAGATAATTTAATAGTTGATTTTTTAATTTTATTAAATGTTTCATGAATAATACCAGTCTCAGGTAAAGATTATTTTGTTTTTGCATTTTGAGAATTTAATTTTCTTAAACTACTAGTGTGTAAAATTTCTTTTCCATAATCCATTTAATTTTATTATTGAATTTAAATTTCAGATGCCTTTAAAGTATTGTACATCAATGATGTTATTTGAGAATCAGCCCCAATTATTACATTTTCATCATCTAAAAATTCCTTTTAAGAATATTCCTATATATATTGTTGATAATACTCAAATTGTTTCTCTTAAATTTACTAAAAATAATAAAACGTAGTTAATACGGATAATAAAGAAAAGGTATTTTCTCTTTGCATTCTTCTCTGTTTAAATTCTCTCCTTTATTTAATATTCTATTATCTAATCACCATTTTAGAAATGTCTGGATTATAAAATAACAATTTGCATTAATGAACAAAATGATCATTTTAATTACATATGATACACTTTGAATGTTTTACAGGAATATTGAATTCAAAAGAATGTTTGATTTAATGAAAAATTTCAAAATCGTCCTTATTTAAAATGTCTAAAAATTTAGACCGTGAAAGTTTAAATACTCTAGTATGTGTCTTACATTTATATGTAAATTGTGCTTAAGAATTAGTAAAGAATTCATATTCTCCAAAGGATTCTCCAGATGTAAATTCTGTTAATTAAGTCTTAGTTCTTTATTCATACAATTCTACAGTACCTTAATCAATAAAATATAGAGCATTTTCATTCTCTGTATTTTAATTAATTATAAAATCATCAGGTTCATAATTTAAAGTTTCAAGAAATGAAGTAGAATTTTAAAGAGTAGATTTAGAAAAATTTGTTTACAAAAGAGGACATTTTGATAGCATACTTTAATAGATTTCAGATATTATTTTAAATCTAAGATGATTAGATAATTAATCTAAAATTTTATATACCTATATTAATTATTTTGGATAAATACATTTTAATTAGATTTTTCTTCCTCTTTTAATTTATATTCTAAATAATTCTTAATTCTACTTTGTAATTCATCTTTTATATTATGCTATCTAAAATACTTATTTAAAGTTCTAAAACTTCTTTCCAATTTATCTGATTCATGATTTAATATTGATATTATTTATCCTATTGTATTCAATGAATAAGCATACACTCCACAAGATAGAAACATTATTATTATACATAAAATCATTTCTAAATAATTTTATGGAGTGATATCCCCATATCCAACTGTTACCATTGTAACTACAGACCAATAAAAAGAATGAATATATTTTATAAAATTAGATTCTCCTCTAATCTATTTAGAATCTAACCAATTATGATTATCATCAATTGTATTTAATCCAATATAATGCCAAATACAAGCTATAAAATGAGCCAATAAATTTATGAAAAAGAGTAGTTTCCACAATTTCAATAGTTCAGTTGTTTTAATACTTAAATCAAATGCATCTTCAAGTTTTTTTATTATTTTAAAAAGCATTCCAATACCATTAGCATAAAATATTATTACAAAAATTATTTATGATGTATGAATAATTAACATTAAAGAAACTAAAAATATAATATCTTCAAAAAATTATCTTGAGATGTACATTTTAAAAATGATTACTCTATCATAGATTATCTAATTACTTATTAATTATTACTTATCCTCTTATTATTATAGCTAAATTGAATTACAATGATATATCTATTAACAATATTATCATTATATAGAAATAGTTATTATTTTCTATCAATAATCCCATATCATCAAAACTCCAAATATATGTAATAATCAATAAAAGTAAAAATACAACTAAACATTTAAGAAATTAAAAAACTAAAGCAATTAAATTTGTAGGATCAAACACATATTTGCTATGTATTTACTATTCTTTATTATATTCTGAATGAAGTATTTTATCCTAATAAATATTCTGAAAAAATGAAAGTTTTTTTCTATTTTCTTTCAATTATTATGTTTTCTTTTGTAATATTTTCAAAAATCGAAATACAGATCCCTTTGATGATCTCTACATACTATTATGATCTTTTTATTTTCTATTAATTGTTGGACTAGCTAAGACATCCATCTCATCAAAGGTTTGTTTTTATAGTTCTTCAAATTGGGAGAATTGTAAATGTAAACCCAATGGTCTTGAAAAGTCTTTAATTATTTTTTGATTCATATACCATCTTATATATTCTCTCCATTAAATAAAAGATTATTCTCTGCAGAACTAATTGCATTCATAATTATGATTATTAATATACTTTTTTACTGAATAAATATTTACTTAAGAAACATTACTCAATAAGTTGATTAATATACATTTTAGTTCAACATTTATTTTGAAATGATTAAGACATACATATATTAAATGTAAAATAATATTATATTTCTTAATTTAAATTTTTAATCACACCAAGAATTAAAATATGTAATTGAATCAACCTTGACCTTATTTTTATATGAAATTATACGAAAAAAGAATCATGAGCTGTGATTATAAAATCCTCATTCCTTAAGAAAATAAAAATTAAATCAACTTAGGATATTTCTCTTCATTTCTTATAAATATCATATTAATTTTGATTTTTATAGCTTACATTTACAATTTGTACGTTATTCATCTTTTATGTAATCTTTTATGAACAGTTTCTTAAAAAATAATGATCAAATAAATAATGTAATATAATACATGTAGGTTCTAATTTAATATAATTTCTTATTAGAGTATTAGATACAAAACCTTTTAAAAAGATAAATAATAATATTATGTGAATTTCAATAGATAATAGAAGTTCAATTTAAAATTATAACTTAACTTATATAAGTATGACAGTCTTAAGAAGTCATACAAGAGTTATTTATGTAAAAATAAGTTTGTTTTGTTTATTATTTTTGACTTAGATTATCAATTAAATAAAGTGAATAATATTTATTAGTCATAAATCATGTGTTTAGAGATCATCTGCATAATCATCAATATCTTCAACATCATCTTCTTCTTCTTCTTCTTCATCTTTAATCTCAATTGGATTAGCTTCAGAATTAAATATTTATTCTTTAACTTTTTCATCATATGCTGCTTATCTTTATATTAAAGATTCTTCATCTAAAATTTATTTTGGTTTTTCCCATGCAGCATTTGGTGTCCTAACTAATCTAATACTTAAACTCATTTTATATGTTTAAATAATTAACAGTTTTTCAGAAAAATATTAAAATATTTATCTATAATTATATATATAATTGCTTAGAAATTCATTATGTCTCCAAACTCAGTAGATGCTGACATATTAGAATTTCAAATAAAAACTATTTTTCATTATATATTGCAAGTGCAACTAGTTTTTGAAGTTTCATTTTTTTTTCTCATTATAGGAGTAGTCTCTAATCTTGAAGAGAGAATAGTTTCATTCTTTTGAATGATTGATTTTATATTTGAAAACATTTTATCTCTTTCATGTTAAATATTTGGATCACTTTTATGTCTAAAATAGATGATAATAAGCAATACGATTGAATATAAAAATGAGATTTTTTGGTTGTTGTATGTATTTGTTATTGAGATTGATGTTATCTATGATTCATCTTTTAATATATTAAAAAATACAATAATCATTTACAGTAACCCTAATAAATAAATACTGCATGATATTTATAATGATTTTTATCAGAAACCAAAATGATTCAAAGAGATAATAATAAATATAAAGAAAGATACAAGATAGACACATAACTATTTATGTTTTATACTAATCAAACATTTTATAATTCCTATAAGCTAGATGTTGAATTCCTTAAAATATAACAATGATAATTGAAAATGCTCTACTTAATTAATTCACTTTAAACATTTTTGAGAATGACAACATAAAATGGTTTTAAATATATTTTTTAATTTTTTTTCTCTAATATCATAAGTTAACTGAATAATTATTTATATAAATAGTTAATTTAAATAGAATGTTAAGTATTAAGATCTAGAGATTGTAATAATTTTATGAATTTTAATATATATACATCCTATTCAGATATTAAGTTAAACAAATATATTGTAATTATGATTTAGAGATAAAAAACATTTTATTTTAAGTTTATTATTGAGTAAATTTATCTTTATTCATTATTTTTATCTACAAACCTATATTGTATAATTAGTTATTATTCAAAATTTCAATAGAAATTCAAATAATTTAGATAATATATTATACTAATGTCTTAATTGAAAAAACTTCAAAATGGAGAGTTTTAAATTATATATCCAATTACAGCAAAAACTGGATTATATAAGAAGGGTTTAGAATAATGGATATGCAAGCAAGTTGTTCCTCAAAAAAAGACATAAAAAGAATTGATTGATGAAATCGATTAAATGAAAATTCGATTATCAAAACCAGGCATCTATATACCTGAAGGATATTGGGAAGATAAATAGGGTGTGAGTTTTGTTTATAAGAAATTTAAACATTCAATGGGTGATTTAATAAAATTGCATAGAAGATAGGGAAAATTCATTCCTATGAATTTGATGTAAAAATATGTAGATGAATTTACAAATTGGCTTGATAAAATACATAAATCTAAAAAAACAGAAACTTAGCGATTTTTTCATTGTAGAATTAAGCCTTCAAATTTATTTGAAGATGAAGATGGAGGTTGTGTAATTACAGATTTTTATTAATTTTCAAATGAGAATAACGAATATTATTTGCCTCCTGAATCAATAGCAACTATTAAAAAAAATTAAAGTTAAAGATTTGCATAAGGGACAGGATAATAAGATTAATTTGGAGGAGATCCTCAGAAAATAGATGTTTGGTAATTGGGAATGGTATTTTTACAAATGGCTTCACTTAAAGAAATAGAAGAATTAATAGTATTTAGAGATTTTTAGGCTCATGAATCAAAGAAAGGTATAGAAATTAGAGAAATAATAAGAAAAGCATATGGAAATCATTTCATTAATATAATAGAGAAAATGTTAGAAAAAAATTCTAATAATAGACCATTATTATCAGATCTTGAAGATTTAGTGTAAGACTTTTTTTCTTAGAATGCTATTATTGCAGATGAAACATTAATATCACCATAACCAGAACTCTTATTAGAAGAATTAAAGGAAAAGGCAAAATAATTTAAATAATAAACAGCAACATAATATTTATCTAAATATTAATTATAACCTGTTAGTCGTAGAATAAAAGCTGAATATTTTTGGGAGGCATTATCTGATTTGAAAATTGAAGTTACTGCAAAAGAGAAATCTGCATTTCTATTATAATTTGATAATAAAAAAAATGATGAGATTGATTTATCATAATGGGTTTAAAGTTAAAAGGAAGTAATAAAATTGGGAGAATTGAATGATTATTAAGAAAAAGAATTATCAGAAATGATGAAGGAATTACATAAATATTTAGAAGAATAATAAATAAATTTATTAGAAAGATTCAAAGAGAATGATCTTGAATCAGTTGGTTATTTACAATTTGAAAAATTTGATTAAATATTAAAAGATAACTAAATAAATTTGGCTGCTGATGATATTCCAATAATTCAATAGAAATATGATCCAAAGAAAAAGAATGTAATATATTATGAATAATTTTGTGAAGATACAAAATCTATGAATTAATAATAATTGGGATTTAATGATTTAAAAATTAAGATGTATAAAGGAATTAGAGATATTCATAATATTTTTATTTAATTCTTTAGACATTATGATACAAAATCAAGAGGTGAATTGAGTCATGATGAAATGCATAAATTTTTGAATGATCTTAAATTACATCCTACTCCTGATATAGAAAAATAATTATTTTCAAATTTGGATCCTACAAATAAAAAAACTATTTCATTTGAAAATGTAAGAATATTTTTTGAAGAATTGATTAATGAAGATGTTAAATCTATTATATAGGAAATTGTCAATGGTTTAGCAAGTATATCAATGACATTACCATAACTAATAAGAAGTAATACAAAGAGTGCTAGTATAATAACTAAAAATTAATTATTTAATGCTTTTAAATAAGCAAATGATGGTCTTAATAACTCAGATTTTACATTTCTAATGAGTATTTTTGGAGTTAAAGATGAAATAGAATACCCACAATTTATTAATGCAATGGTTTAAAAAGGTAAAGATTTGAAAATATCTAATTGGAAATAACTATAAGAAATAGAAATTAAAGAATAAAAATAAGAGAAAAAAAGTACATTTGATGATCCTGAAGAATCAATGCATAAATCTATAAAATTTAATGCAAAATAATTTGATTCTTAAAAATAATTATTATAATTTATCTATAAATAATTATAAGAAAGAGAATAAACTCCTAGATAATATTTTAAAAGTACATTTTAAAGAATGTCTATTACATAATATAAAGAGAAAATTAGATAATTAGAAATTTATAAAGGAGATTATGAAATAGAATAAGAAGAATTATTGAATAATCTTTTAGTTCCACATGATAGATCATTAGTTGATGTTGATTTATTAATAGAGGCAATTCTTTATTATAAAGATAAAAAAATAGATTAATATAAATATAGTCAACATAAAGCTATTATGTTTATTGAATAACTAAATAAATAAATGAAAAAGAAGAGAATCACTTTTGCAGATATTGAAGATTTGGATACATTAGGAGATGGATATATGCGTAAAAAATAGTTTTAAGATTTTATCAATAAAAGATTATAATTAGATACAGGTGATAATTAATTCTAAGATTTTTTAACAAGTATTTAATAAGATTAATAAAATATATCTTTATAAAAATTAAAATAAGGTTTAAAATTAGATGAAGCATCAAATAAATTATTATCTGATATCAATACAGAATTAGCATATGAATAAAGTAAGCCTGAATAAGTATTTAAAAAATATGATGCAAATAGAAATACTAAATTAGAATTAAGAGAATTTGCAGAATTTCTAGTATAATTAGTTGGAGATGTAGATTAAAAAATAGTAGAAACTTTATTTTAAAAATTGGATGCAAATGGAGATAATACAATTAATTTATATGAATTTAAATAAAAAATATCATAATAAGAAAATGATATATCAGAATAATAATAAACAAAGTATAAATATAAATAAACTGCTTAAACATTTACAAAATAATTAACTCCTTAAATTATGAAGGCAGTATTTAAATTAAAAGATGCTTTAAGAGAAAATAATGAAACTCTAGAAATATTTGATAAAAAAGGAAGAGGATAAATTTTATTAAATGCTTTTTAAGATATTATAGTTAACTTAGGTTTTGAATTTTAAGAATTTAAATAATTGGCTTAGTATCTTCTATCTCCAGAAGATAAGAAGTTTTTGTAATATGATAAATTAGCAGTCTTAATGAATGATTGTGAAGAAGCTGAATAATTATTAATAAATTTAAATTAAACTATTTAATCAGGTAAAGTGGCTACAGCATCTCTATTTTATAATTATGATTAGAATGGAAATGATGTTTTAGATAAATAAGAATTCTATAAATTAATAAGAGACATTGATCCTATGTCAAGGAATAAACCAGTTGATAATTTATTCTTACTTCTTGATTCTAATTCAGATGGATCTATAAGTATAAGTGAATTCAAATCTAAAGTTTGTACTAAAGATAAACCTAAAGTTATGGCAACAATTAATAAATAATAATTAAGTATATTTGATGATGTAATGAAATTTGCTAAAGATTCACCTGCATTATTAGGAGAATTTGAAGTAAGAGATGAAAATTATACTAATAAATTAGATTTAGATACATTTATTATGGTACTTAAGAAAAATAATGGTCCAAATATTTAATTATTAGAAATGAAAGCATTAGCTGATTAATTAGGTGCATTACAAGGCAATAACATTAATTATAAAATATTTTGTTTAAAAGCCAAATAGTATTAAGTTGAAACTCCTTCCACTAAAATAGATGCCATAGCTACTAAATTAAGAGAGTAACTAAAAAATAAAAATACTAATATAATAGAAATATCTTAAGAATATGATATCAATTAAAAAGGGAAAGTAAAAGTCAAGGCCCTTAAGATGGGGATGTCTGATAAATCCCTATTATTAAATGATAATGAATGGGAATTATTACTTACGATAATAGAATAGGATGCTTAAGATTACATTGATTATTATTCCTTAAATGATTTCATTAATTTAGGATTAGCCAAATATAAAGAGAGTAGAAAAGTCTTAGTGCTCAATACAAATTAAGAAATTGATAGAATTGTTAAAAGTTTTACTTAATATTTAGAGAAAGAAGTATGTACTCTTCTGGCTATGTATAGATAAACTGACAAAGATTAAAACAACTTTATATCATTTGAGGAATTCACTGCTTTACTCTTAAAAACTATTGGTTATAGTACTACTGTAGATAATTAGAAATAATTATTTGATATTTTTGATATGGATAAAGATGGTAAAATTAATTTTACAGAATTTGAATATTAAATATATAAAAGAAATGAAATCACTGCTAAATAAATTCAAGAAATGAAATTAGTGATGTTAAATGGTAGAAATCCATAAATGGATCAATAATTATCTGATTTATTTCTAATTATTTCACAAGGATCTTAATTTATTGAATTCAAATAATTTGCAAATTATATTAATTATTTTTAAAAATATTCAATGCTTGAATTAGATTAGTTTTTTAGATATTTTGATTAAGAATATTCAGAAAAATTAGATTAATTTAGATTTATTTTAGCTTTTAAATAGTAATAAAGATAATCATCTATTCAACCATAAACTTAACAATAATAAGTTTAAATACCTTAATAATAACCATATCCATAAAATGTATAACCACCATATTCATAATAGTAAACTGGTTAATAAATGTAATTTGGATAATAACCTTAATTTCCTGGATAATAACCTTTAGTAAATGGTTAATAGCCTTAATATAATATATAATAACCACAATATAATGGATAATAACCATAATATAATGGATAATAACCATAATATAATGGATAATAACCATAATATAACAATTAATTACCATAATATAATAATTAATTACCATAATATAATAATTAATAACCATAATAATAATATAATCCTTAATATAATTAATAAGAAGTGGGTACTTCTTTTAATGCATCAATTCCTAACAGTTCTATTGCCTATCCTCCTTAAAATACAATGTATAATAAACAATTTCCACAAGAATTTGATAAAAAACAAGAATGGGTTCAGAATCCTAAATTTGAGTAAAGTTGGGTATCATAAGGATAAGATTAATATTCTTAAAAATATGATCCTAATTAAGCCAAAGCTACTAAACCTCAACCATAATAATCATAAATTCCAATTGAATTTGATCTTAATTTCTATGATTAAGAAATACAAAAAAAATGTATATAAAAAAACATTGATTTATTTGATTTGTTGTGTTAATATGATGAAACATCACTTCCAGAATTAAAAATTTCAAAACCTGATCAATTAGAATTAGCTTTCTAATTTTTAGAAATATTAGCACCTACACCACATGTCTAATAATATTACTACTATTATTCATAAGGATAAAATTAAATGGGGATTGTTTTACCATATTTGAAAATGAATAATCCTGGTAAACTTTTAGCTAAAGCATTAAACTTCACTATGATTAAACATAAATAATATACCAAACAATAATTGTGGAAATTAATTGGAGAAAATCAACCTGTTTGGTATCTTCCTTAATTAGATAAGATCAATAAAAATTTAAAAATTGGTTTGAATGAAAGAGAATTGAAGGAAGCATTTTAATATTGGGACACAGAGTAAAAAGGTTAGATAACTTTTAAGATGTATGATGAAATTCTTACATTGAATTAGATTGTGATTCCACAAAAATAAGATGTACAATCTAAAGATCCAGTTTTATAATCAACATTAGATACATTCTTATTACATATATCAGAAGTAGTATTGTCTAAAAATTGTTTTAATCTTTATGAGTAACTTGATAAAAGAGGATACAATTAAATATCTACTAATGATTTTTTGACTGTAAGTAAGAAATTAATAGGATCTATTTCAGCTGAAGAAATTAAATCTATAAAATAATTATTATAATAAAATGGTTTTATAAATTTAAGTGATTTAGCTAAACTATTAAATGTTGATAGAACAAAAATTAATTAATATAATTAAGAAGATGAGAAATAATAATTTGGTTTAGCATAAAAAGATTCACGTAAATCTATTTTGAATGCTTAAAATAAAGAGAAATTCAATAAAATGCTTCCAATAATTAATGAATTTTTGAAAAAACGTAATAAATCATATGATGACTTTGCACTCTATTTCTTCCCTCCAAATTCTAATAGTACAATTGATAGAGTTTAATTTACAAAAAAAGCATTAGATGCTTAATTTGGATTATCTGCCACATAATGTGAAGAACTTTATGATTATTTAGATGCTAATTCTAGTGGACATATTTCTATTAATGAATTTAGATTAGTATTTTAAACAAAATAAACAGAATAATAAGTTAAAAGATAGGCTGATAATATTGTTTAAAGTTAAGATATAGAATAAGAAATATTAGATTTATTTAATTAAATTGATGAGAACAAAAATTAATAATTAGATTAAAGGGAATTATTAAAGGCATTATAATCAGTAGGTTTAAATCCTGGAACTGAAGAATTATCATAATATTTTGCTTAATTTGATAGAGATAGAAGTGGAACTATTTCATATTAAGAATTCTCACATATAGTTAAAGATATTTTAAAAAAAGAATTATTATAAGCAGATGATTTATTAGAAGATTTGAGAAGAGAATTCAGATAAGTATGTAATCCAACTACACGTATGTTATCTAAAGAATAAGTAAGTTAAGTATTCTAAAATATGGGAGTACTTATTAAAAATGAAGAATTAACAGATTTATTTGTTGAAATAGATGAGGATAAATCTGGTTCTATTGATATAGATGAATTTATTTATTTCATTTAAAAAAACTAATCAGGAATGTCAGCTAAAGCTTCAGCTGCAGTAATGAATATAAAGGGTAGTAGAAGAATTTCATTACATGATTTGAAAGAGATTTTCTTATCATTACCTCAAAACTTTATTATGAGTTTTGTTAGAGGATAAAATAAAAAACTATAAAATCTGCCATCTTCATAACTCAAACCAGTACTTGATAATTGTGGATTTTTTTATTAAGGATTAAATTATGTAGAAGCATCTAATTTTAATATTAAATAAAGCATTTTAGATAAAGTTAATATTAAAAATAATTTCTTAGCAGAAATTAGAATGATTGAAGCAACAGGAATACCTATTCCAGATGAAAAAGATGTTCCTAGAAGTTCATTTTTGAGAAGAGAAATAGGCATTATCTTAATTGATAAAGCAATTAATAAATATGAAGGTAATGCTATTTATATACCTGCTTCATGGAATCCTGAATATGAAGATAGATGGGTTTTTGATTAACCAGCAATGGAATAAGCAATCTTAATGAGATGGGGTAATTTTGATGAAAAAATGGATAATTTAAAAGAATTAGTTTTTGAATTCATTACTTATTCTGTTAATAAAGGAAGATTAATATAGATATCATGTGCATATGGTTCAATACCAGTCTATTAATTAAAACCAGGAAAACAAATACTTGAATTGAAAGGTGGTGCACCATTGAAAGATATTACTATAGATAAAAAAGATATTAGAACTAATAGAAATGGATGGAGATCTTTTGTAAAAGCACTTTCTTCTAATATTAAATCTTAATTAGTTTTAGAAGTTATGAAATTACCTCCTTAGATGGTATAAAAAATATCAGCATTACCAAATAAATGCATACTCAATAAATGGGCTTTAGGTATGGAATCAGCATTTCGAGAATACTTTGCTTATAGAACATAAATGAAAGGAGAAATTGAATTAAATTTAGCTAGTGATATACGTATTAGAGCATGGTTACATTGTTTCGATTGTCCTGATACTACAAGACCAATTGCTTAATTTTGGAATGAGTTTATTGAGTAAAATATCAATAATATTATTTAGGCCAAAAGTTGGTAATGATTACCAATTTTTATTAAAATCAGTATCTAAAATAGCTGATTCATTATATTTGATGTTTAAAAATACAGATTTTAAATTTTCAATTGGAGATCCAACAGCAAGAATAGATAATGATACTGTTCTACTTAAGCGAAGATAATAATTAGTTGCAGAGGCAATAGGTGATATGAAAATTAATCTTGGAATAGTTGTTCAATAATAGTAAGAAACTAACACTTATATTTTAGAAAAAAAGCATAGATTATTACAAGTTTAGAACCACTAAATGTTGAAGAAATGATGGATCTTGATAATGAATCCGATATTTAAGCATTAGAAAAATTTTTTAATAAAAAGAAATCAAAAAAATAACAATGACAATATATGATTATTACAATTTTTATATGTTTTTATTTATTTTTTAAATGGATAAAAATTTAAAGAAGATAAACAAAACATTTACATTTATTTTTTGTATAAGTATTGAATTTATACATTATTTTGAAAAACAAATTAATTCAATTCATTCATTAAATATATTTGAAGTTTTCAATTGTATAACTATATCTTAACAAGCAAATTAATAGAAATAATGTAATTATTTTATATAACAAATTTTGAGTTTTTCATCAAATCTTAGAGAAAATCTAAGTGATTTCATTTATTATACAAGTGTTACAATTTTATGGGGAAAACTAACAATATTGATTTAATTAACAAAATTTTGAAAAATAAACTTCAATTGATGTTAAAGTAAACTTAAGTATTATCTTTAAAGACTCTTTTTTAATTGAACATAATTTATTGCTGTTATTATAATATGATTATTATAAAAATATATACAAAAAACATATCCCAATCTGAATATTAATATTTAAATTATGAAAATTATTATTAAAACATTGAGCGGATAAAACTTTCCTTTAGATGTGGAAGGAACAGATACAGTATATAATCAATCTAATTATTTAAGATTTCAGTTGTGAAAGAAAAGATCTTTTAAGTGAAATAATTTGAAGTAGGGCAACAAAAATTATTAAGAAAAGGAACACTCTTGGATGATAAAACAACTATTGCAGAATTGGGAATTTAAGAAAATGAATTTTTAGTAGTCATGGTTAATGCCAAAGTATTTTATTTTATTTAAAATTTTCATAGAAAACAGCACCTCAGTAGCCATAGCCAGTTTAACAACCACCAGTCTAATAACCTGCTCAATAATAACCAGCTCAATAACCTGCTTAATAAGTGCCACCACAATAATAGCCTTAACCTTAAGGAGCTCCAGTTGTAAAACCAGCAGCATCTGGAACAGGATTGCTATCTGGACCAGAGTACGACAAAGCTATTGAAGAGTTAATGTCTATGGGATTCTAAAGGGAAGAATGTGTAAATGCTATGAAGGCAGCATTCAACAATCCTGATAGAGCTGTTGAATACTTATTAAATGTAATATTAAATTCTATAATTAGGGCATCCCTCCTGGTGCTATATCTAATCCTCCTGCTCCAGTTGTTGGTGGATAAGGATAACCACCTGCAGCTTAATAACCAGTTGGTTAGCCAGCTTAATACTAATAATTAAGATAATTGTACTAATAGAATCCATAAGCTGTTATGCAATTGATACCTTAATTGATGCAACAACTTTAATAGACTAATCCTGAGTTACATGCATAAGTTGCATAAAACCCTGAAATGTTATTACAAATTCTTATGGGAGGAGGAGGATAATAAGGCCCACCTCCAGGATCTATCTAATTAAGTTAATAAGAATTTAAAGATATTGAAACTGTATTTATATTTATAATATTTTAGATTATGGGATTAGGTTTTACTAAATAAGACTCATTAGAAGGTTATTTAGCATGTGATAAAAATGTTGAGATGGCAATTAATTATTTATTTGAGAAATAAGCAAATGGAGATCTATTTAGTATATTCTTAATTTAACCTTAGCTTAACATGTTTAAAGAGAATAAGCAAATCCCCCAAATCAACAACCACCTGGTGGAAATGATGGACCAATGGATGAAGAAGATGACGATGATGTTTATTAATGATATATTATTATTCATAATATTAATTTCAATACATCCATTGATATATATTCTTTTTTTATATCTTCTTTTATTATTTTTGAAGGAATAGAAATATATAAAATTCATATTTATCATTTTTCAATCAGTAGTGATTCTGCAAAATATAAATCAAATTTTATTACTGTTTATTATAATAGACTGAATAATTGTTTATGAAGCATTATTCTTTAGTATGTTGAATTAAAACTATAAAGAAAACAATAACAGGGAAAATAGTAATTTTAATAATTAAACATAATTCACTAAAGCTTGTCCATAAAAATATTAATTATTTCACAAATAAATAAAGCATCCTTTATGCATCTATTAATGAGGAAAAGAAAGTTAAAGCATATTGTGATAACAACATTAAGAAAAGTTTGACACAGATGAAATAACAGAAAATTGAGAATGAATAGAAACTAATCTTTAATAGAGAAATAAAATTTAATCAAACATAAAATATTAAATTGAATGAATGCTAATAACAATATTCAATAAATTTCTAATATTAAAAAACTATATGGAGGATAAAAAATCATTTATCAAAATAATATAATTTAAATATAAACTCAAAAAGTTTAGAAAATATATATAAAGTAAAAATAAATATTGATTATGAATTGTTGAAAAAATATATTAAACTCTTATACTAATTAACAATAATAAAAAATTACATTATTTTACATTATATTGTATAGATAAAAGTTATAGATATGAAATTAAATGTTTTTATTTAAAATGTTTAAATAGAAAGAGAGAGAAGAATAAATATAAGGATTTGAAATCTAAATAGTTTATATATTAATTGCAATACATTATTTCAACTTTAATAATTAATAAAATAAACAAGAATAGTTCTTACGAATGTAATTTGCAATAGTATTAACTAGTAGTAAAATATTGTTAAAATAATAATCATCATTGTATTTATACCTGTAGATTATTCAGAATTGACAGAGTTTGAGTAAATTAAAAAAGAATGGCTTAAATGCAAATATATATATGTAATAGGTATCACAATTATTGAAATAATTTGACAGTATTACAAATTTGAAAAATAAATAGATATTAGATTGAGAAATATGTTATTGGATCTTATAAAATGGTATGCATTAAATAAATATATGAATTTTTAATTGATTGACATAAATTTTAGTGTAGTATGAAGTATTTTAATTGAAATAATATTTAGAGATTTGAAAATGTGAATAATATTTTAATATAGAGAATATTATAGTTTAAAATAATTTGATGAATTATTGACATGTAGTGTGTAGGCATTATATTGTAATATTAATGAAATGTGAAAATTTTTCTTAACAAATTGATTAAGATGTTTTGAAAATGATGCTAGAAAATTATTAAAAAACAAATTGAAGAATTAATATAAGATTATAGTAATTTTGCATATGTAGATAGATCTGATTATATATTTTGTGTTAGAGATGTTGTAAAAGAGATTCGGTAATTTATCTATTGATTGATTCTTATCCAAACAAATATTAATAACAAAATAAATATAAAAGTACTAAAATAACATTCAATAATTATCAATAATAAGTATTTGTTCTTCTCGAATACATTCTTATTGGCTTAATTAAAGAGCAAGCAAAATCAAATTTTATATAATTTTATATTTTTTGCTTTAAAAATAAGTATTAAACTTTATATAATGATATAAAGAAAATGCTGATGAATTCGAACATCTTAAAAAGAGGACTATGAAAAAATGTACACTGAACTTAAATTTCTCATCATTCTTAACTATATTTCAATAAATAAATATTCATAGGAATAACAATGAGATTAACATAAGAAAAATTTTAATTGGAAATAACAAAATTGAAAGTTTATGAGCTGAAGCTGTAATTAATGCTTTATAAGATTCACAGAATCTAATATTACGAATCTTGGATGGATCCTGATCATATAACAAAGAGTAACACAGTTGGAGAATCTAAAATTACTGAAATAAGGCGAGTAAAAAAGAAGACAAAAAATCAAGTTTAAAATTTTAGTGGGGAATGCTAAAATAATATTTTTTTGACAAATTATCAAATAATCCTGAAAGCCGTTTTAATTATTTTATAATAATTTAAATATTCATATAATCTAGAAAAAAATTTAAAATTATATGTCTCTTTATAGAAGTTAAATAATTGTTAATATTTGTAAACATATTTATAAATTGAAGGATAACACATATTAGTACTTAATAAGTCATGGAAATTTGAAATTCTAAATGTTCTGATCCTATTATATATATTGCAAATAACGATAAACAAAAATTTATTAATTATAATGTTAATGGAGCTTATAGAAATGAAGATTTAAACTTCATATCTTTGTCTTTACATATTTTTTTGTTCAACCTTTTGCTCACAATTCAATGAAGATTTATTAATTAAGAGCTCATATCCTATGGAGATGACAACAATTACAAAAGCATCTAATCCATCTCAGTATGAATTTTGGAGTTTTTACATCACAAATTGGTAAGTGACTTCTTACCCTTGGATTGAATAAGAGCCCGATTAAGGTAAAATCAAATAACAGTTATTATTTTTAATGAAAACTGTAGAGGATAAAAAAATATTGGCATTTATGTATGCAACTGTAATAACTGTAACTAATGTTTTACATAACTTCTATTATGATGGTAAAATTATTGAAATACCTTATAATCCAAGTGAGTATGAAGGAATATGGATATTAAATGTCATTACTTTGAAAGGATTAAAAATGGAGTTCGAAACCTATGGAACATCTTAGACTTAGATGTTATACACATTTGCATTAAAAAAATCAGTAATTGGCTTAAATTTTTATGTTGGAGGATCTGGAATTGTAAATTATATGTATATATATAAAATTTTAGATTTTTCAAAAATATGAAACAGTAATATTTAGAGGAAGATTATCTAAATTATTTGTAAATAATAGTTAAAGGAAAGTATCTCAAATATATTAAGAAAGAATAAATATTTTAAGAAAAAATGAATATGAACAAACAATAAGCTTGATTCCAGATATAGTCAATTTTGATGGAGTTGTATAAAAATAGTTTGAATTTGATTAATTTGGAAGAAAATTTAGTATTTATGGATGGGTAAAATTTTATACAGAAGATGCCTATTAGTTAAAAAAGTATTTAATAGTTAGATTAACAATTTTTAAAAATTATTAAGATGAAATAGTTGTTGGAGATGAAATACTCAAAATTACAGCAGATTTATATTTGTCTGACAAACAAAAATGTGGATATGATGTGATATCTCATCATTATTGGATGCCATATCCTTAAAACCAGTTGTCAGATTCTAAAGAAGATAAAATCAGTTTAAGGGGAGACTTGCAATATTTAGAATTATTATCAAAATGGCATTTTATTTCATTTGAATATGGAATAAAAGGAACTTCATAAAGAACTTAATTTAAATTAAATTATTTTGAAAAAAATAATTTGATGTCTAAAACCTATTATCTTGGAAACAAATAATATAACAGTTTATTTATAAATACAAAATATTATGCTATTTTAGGAGGTGATTATACTGTTTATGAAAAGATGAAAGGATATTTAGCTAGGTTTTATTTTAAATCAAATTTTTAAAATGACTTAAACATTTAATTCAGTATTATTAAATAATATTTTTAGATTGTCATCATAGTTGCAAAACTTGCAACGGACCATTACTTTCAAATTGCTTATCTTGTAATGATTAAAAAAGAGTATTTTTGGATGATATTCATTAATGTGTTTGTCCATATGGATAATATGAAAGAAATTAATAATGCTACTCATATTCAGAATTATATCCAGAATTAAATTATAATGAAATTAAATTGACATTACCAAGTTTTTAATGTCTATTTGGATATTTTTATCTTCCATCAATTTAATAGTGCTTAAAATGGTAAATAATATAACAACACTAAATAGTCCTCAATGGAGCCCTTATAATTTATTTTGTGCAGATTGTTTATTTAGTCCCTCTATTTGGTATATGCGACCTATCTGTACTATTGATTTAATTACATAATAAATTAATAAAGATTAAGATGCTTATACTTAAAAGATAAGGTCTACTCTAGATTATGATGTATATTATATTAATAATGATCATAATTTGATATTACTTGAAGGAGTTTATGATTACTGTGACATAACTAAAGTATCAACAGAATAATGTTTGGAATTAAATGTTTAAAATTTATAAAGTAATGCATTTGGATTTTGTAAATAAAATCGATATTACTCTAATTTTAGTTGCAATTTATTAGATAATGCATGTATTAAATTAAATAAAAGTGATAAAAAATGTCTTGAATGTTTAAGTGGATATTATGTATCAGATGATGGTACATCTTGTTTATAATGTCCTAAATCATGTTAAAATTGTTATGGCTTAAACAAATGCTCATCTTGTGAACCAAATTTTGGATTAAAAAATGAATAATGTGTTAGATGTGGAAATTTTTGTAAAATTTGCAAATATTCAAATGAATTTGACATTATGTAATGTCTAAGTTGTATTGACAATAAGTTATATTATTAATCTTTAAATGCATAGGATTGTAAAAAAAATGAAAAACTAAATTGTATATATGCATTTGAAAGTTCTAAATCAGATAGATTTATCATTTCTTTAGATTATAATTTTAGACCTTATAATTAACCAACAATTACTTAATGTGCATTATGCAAAGTTGGCTATTATTATTATGATTAAACAAGTAGTTGTGTTCAAGGAGGATTAACAAATTGTCAATATGTTTATGGAAGACAAGGAGGATCTTAACTAAACAAAATTTGTTTATTTGGTTCATATAATTCAGGCACTGTAATATATTCATTTACTGAAGAATGTCCAAAACTTAAATTACATTGTATACATTGTCTAATTGAATAATTAACAGCCTATATTTAGGGTGAAAATTTAGTTATTAAAAAAGTTTCTTATAAATGTCTTGTATGTGAAAATGGATATTATGCTTTAAAAAAAACAGGTTAATGCTAATAATGCCCATCAGAATTACACTGTTTAAGTTGTTATTAGTAGAATAAATATTATAAAGATAATTGGAAAAATGATATCCGCTCATTTTATCGAGTCTATTTTGAAAATTATTTTCATGAATTTACTGACTATGGAATCAGTTAAAATGATTCGGATTACGAGATACTTTGCACTAAATGTGAAGAAGGATATGAATTTTTTGGAGACCAATGCATTAAAATATGTCCAGAATCATGTTTAGAATGTAAAATAATGGATGGTAAAAATGTTTGTGTTAAATGCCCCTTGGGTTTAAGAGGAAGGAATCGTAGCTTAATTAACAATTAATGTGTTTATTGCCCATAAAATTGTGAATTATGCAAGGAAAGAGATGAAAAAGATGTACATTTGATCAACCCACTTTTTATTAATAAAGATTACTCATATTATTCTTATTATTGCATATATGGAAACACTGAAATATTTGATTAAGAATTAGGATTATATATTGATTGCTAAAATGGTCCATGTTAAAAAGAACTTCTGATGAATTTTAATTTAATTTGTGATTTTGATGAATATTAACAATAAATTAATTAATTGTAAAGTGAATAGGAAAAAATTACATTTAGACATTAAAACATTTTAAGTGATGATTTGTTTTCTTCAAATAGTTTTTCATAGGTAAAAATTCTATATAATAAATTTAGTTTGAAACATAAGAATTTTATTAAGAGGCTAATGAAAAAACAATTAAAAAAATTTTGATAAAACTAATTAGTCAAAAACAATAAAGTTGTATAGTTAAGGATTAATTACAGATATCATAAAATTTCAGTTCAAATATTTTTTCAGCAATGTAATTATTTATAATATTATAATATAGAGATGTTGAGCTTGAAATTTATGGTAATGGCATTACAACTTTAATATTTCAAAAATAACTATTATTTGTGAATTTTAAAAGAGTTCACATTGAAGGAATTATAATTCAAATAGAGTATTTCCCATTTGGTCCTAATTTACTTAAATTTACTAGTCTTTTTGAGTAAACTATTGAATTAGTCAAAATATCTTATAAGTAAGACTTTAATTTAACAACTTTTTATACAATTATAGAAAATGCTAAAAATGTTTTAATATAAGAATTTTTGGTGGAAGATTGCATAAGATAATTCTCTATTTAGGCTTTTATTAAGATTTAATAGATAAAATCTTACTAGACAATTAAAATTATGAATTTTAGAATTTAAAATAGTTCATTTTTAAATTTACATCTATTTTGGTTTGATCTCAAAGAAAATGATTAAGTTGAAATAACAGATTTAACAATTAATAAAACATTTTTTAATTAAGCATTAATATATTAAACAAATGGTTAATTAAAGATTAATTAAATGCACATATAATCATGTGAAATATATTCTTAAAGTGGCTTATTTTTAATTAATTCCTTAAAATTCTTTGAGTTAATATCATTTGATTTTATATCAAATGTAATCTATTCTGGTAAGATTTTAAATATCAATCAAAATTTAAATTTAGTAAATCTTTATTTTATTAGAAATAAACTCTATAACAATTCTTTGCTTATCTATAATGAAAAAGTAAATATTGGATAACTATTTATCAAAAATATTGTATTTTAATTAAATGGATATTCTGAAGATTCAATATTCATAAAAATAAGTTCCACTATTATACCTAATAAAGAGATAGTTTTTAATTAATTATCAATACTTGAAAATCAATTGTTAGAAATAGCTAATAATCCTGCCTTTAATATATTGACTGTAACTTTAATTTATTTGGAAGTATAATTAGTAAAAATTGAAGAATTAATTATTGAAAAAGCATATGGAATACCTGATTTAGTAATTGTAAAGGCTGATGAATTAAATTTAAAGTCAATATCAATAAAACAACATGAAAATCATAAATATAAAGGGCTTTATCAAAATTTTGATTGTTTTTAAAAATCTATTGAAAATAAATATAATTATGTTTGGATTAAAATATATGATGTTCCAATTATAGAGATTTAATAATTAGTAATATCATAAGCTTAAACTATTAATTATCCTATTATTGATATTAAGACTTCTATTTTGAATTTCTAAACCTAAAAATTAATTAGATTATCAGAAATGCATTTTACTCAAAACTTACTTTTGATCACCAACAAAATTAATATAGCTTCAATTATGAAAATGTAATTTGAAGAAGATTATCATATTGAAATCTAAAATTCAATCTTTGAAAAAAATTTGATGCATTAATATGTTTTCATAGATTTAATCAACTCTGGTTTAATTTTTTTTGTTGATTGTAAATCTTGTACATACTTTCTTAATAATCTAATATTCTAATAAAATATTGTTACAAACTCCTCTAATAGTATAATTTACATTTATGGTAAAAATATTGAAATATAAAATTGCAGTTTTATTTAAAATGGTTTATTTGATTATTCAGTTTTACGTCCATATTTATTTTGGGGTTATAATAAAATTCTAAATATCTTTATGGAATAAATTAAAGAAAATTTTCTAACAAAAATCAAAACTGGGAATGGAAAAATAATATGTCAACAATTAATAATTAATAATATCACTATTTTCAATACAACAGGTTCAGGACTTTATATATATTTAGAAAAAGAAGCTTTTGTTCAAATAAAAGATGCAAAAATTTATAATATTAGTCCTTCATTTTAGAATGAAAATGAAAATGGTGCAGCTTTTTTAATTGATACTTAATTTTGTGTTTCTTCAGTCATTTAGCTAATAAATATAATTGCAACTGATATTTATTTTAGAAATAATGGTGGCTTGCTTTATATTTAAAATTCATATGAGAAGACTAGAATCTAAATTTCAAATCTTGTTATAAATGATATTTATTCATTGAAAGGATCTATATTTTATGGAGAGTTTTCATTTTATACTAAGTAGCATCAATAATTTATAATTGAAAATTTGAAAGTTCAAAATTCAAAATAAGGTTATTTAAGATTTTTGAGCACTTATAATGAACCAAACATTTAATTATTATAAGAATTAAAAAATAGCAGAAGTTTATTTGAAATAAAAAATGCATAATTTGTAAGTTTAAAAGATATTGTGATTATATCTCTCTTTTATGAGTCTCTTGCTATTCTTACATAGATATTAACAGTAGAATTTCAAAATTGCAGAATTTTAAACTCAACAATATAAAATTCATTGTTGAATTTGAATTTAATGAAGGCAAATTCTTAAATTAGAATGGTGGATTTTTTTGTTTCTAATATTTAAATTACTGATCATATTACAATAATAGAAAAATGTGCGACTTCATAATTGAATTTTGAAATGCATCAATAAATTTGCTCAAAAGAATTAAGCATATAAGATTCTCCACAATTCCTTTTAAATAAATAAACCCAAGAAAATTTATACAATAGTTATTGTATTATCAATTAAATGAATCAACAACAATAATAAATTTTAAGCCTGTTAGATATTAATTTGCAAATAACATTTTTATAAGTTTCTGAACTTTATTTAAAAAACATAAATTGCGAAAGCTGTAAAAATGGGTTACTAAATATCAATATTGTGGATAATTTTAGCAAAATTATTATGAATTCAATTATCTTTTAAGATAATTTATGTGGAGAATAAAGTTGTTTGAATGTTATAAAATCTGTATCAAAATCTAGAATGTTAGAATCCTTAATCTAAAATATCAAAGAAAAGTAATATGACTTAAGATTAGTAAACTATAAATGTTTAAAAAACTTTGCTTAAAAAGGTACTTGTCTTTACATTCAAGATGTCAAAACTTTAATAGAAGATTCTATTTTCCAAAATAATACTGCTAAAGCATAAGGAGGTTCAATGTATATCAATGGATCTGAGAATTTTTTTGTATTGAACTCTGCAATTTAATATAACAGAGCAGAATTAGGTGGAGGAATATTTCTAAAGGATTAAATTATTTAAAATCTAAATAAATAAGGAACATTAATTGATGAAAATGTAGCATAATAATTTGGTCAAGATTTTGCTTAACTTCCCTCTTAATTGTCTGTCTCAATTGATCTAGAACATAAATTATCTAAAGTAAAAATCATAGAGTAAGAAAATATTCTGATAGAAGAAGTTATTATTGGAAATTATGAATTATTTAAAAAACACTTTTCTGATGTATTGTATGTTCCAAATGGATAAGTATTTTCTTAATATTAATTTTTTGATTACAAGAATTAGGAATATACGAAATATCCTTTCCATTTAAGGTTAATCCCATTAGATTAATTTAATAATGTTTAAGAAAATTTATTCAATACTTAATGTGAAATAAGTGGAAGGATACTTACAGACAAAGAAGATTCAATATTTACTTAGGATTTTACAAGTTTTGATTAAGTCATGTTTAATTAATCCGATTATAATTTTGATGATATCATCTTTTACTTTGATTTTGATGATAAATTGAATCTTACATTATAATTATAATTTCATTGTGATTCTATTTACATACCCATATATGGTAAAAATTAAGAAATTTTAGGATATCATAATAACTATTTTTTAAGAATGAATATAAAATCATTACCTTGTTAATTAGGTGAAATTAAAAGTGTCTATGATGATTCATGTATTCCTTGTAATGCAACTTAAGGATTGTATTCATTAACTATTAATTCTTTGAATTGTTCTTAAAAGGATGATTTCTCAACAAGTGAAATAAAATCAGCATAATTAAAACTTAAACCAGGATTTTGGAGACCATATTATGATAGTGATTATATAAGTTAATGTATCAATTTACTTGATAATTGTAATGGTGGATGGATAGAAGGTGATACATCATGTTATTAAGGACATATTGGAGCATTATGTGAAGAATGTGATATACACAATTACAGAGGATTTGGGCACTTTTCAACTAGTGCCAAATATACTTGTGGATCTTGTGTTGATAATAATTAAAATATTGCTGCTATAACTGCAATCAGCTTATGGTATATTTTTATAATATTTAATCAGGACTTTAATCTCAATCTTAATATCAGTAAGAAGTAATGTATCATTAAATGAAAAAATAATTTTGAAAAAAATAATTTCGAGACTAGTACTGACAAAGATATAATATCATTCCAATTTTGGTATCTTAATCAAGATGACTACTAATCATTTGCAAATAGTTTCAGTTATATTTACATTTAAATTTACATCATTAGTCGATGTGGGTAATATTGTAAATGCTCTAAGCAATCCAATTCAAACAATGACTCATTCCCTTGATTGTTTATTAAAAGATATGTTTGAAATTCAAATTCATTACTCAAGAATAATATGGTAATTAATAATGCCTTTTATTTACATTTTTTTGTTTTTAGGATTATATGGAATTGCTTTGTAAATAAAAAAGCTAAAATATAGTTTAAATGTGATAACTACGACAATGATTTATATGTACATATACCTCTAACCATTTTTGGTGGGTAGAATAATTTCATTAATTTCATTTAGAAAGATATCTGATTTTTATTGGATTTAAGCTAATGTTGCATATAGATATGATACAACAACCCATTACTAATGGTTATTCATATTTTGTTTACCTCTATTAATTTTCATCTCTTTGATTATTCCATTATTTTTTTTTATTTCTCTGTATTTAAATAAATCAACATTGCAATAAAGAAAAATCAGACAAAAATGGGGATATTTATATAATGAATATAAACTTAACGCTTACTATTGGGAAATTATTAAGATTATCATGAAATAGCTTCTAATTATATTTCTCTCCTATTATGATGAAAATATTGTTAAGAAAGGAATTCTTTTGTTATCATTAGTATATATATATTGGGAAATAAGTAAAAAATACAGACCTTATACCTCATATGTACTTAATAAATTGGATGCTTATTCTGCAAATGTATGTGGAATATCTATTGCAGTTGCTATAGGAATTTATATTGATTAATAGAATAAATCATATGAAATTTAAATACCATATTTAATTATTCTAGTTACCATTAATATACAATATTTGATAAGAATTCTCAAAGAAATAGTATCTACTTTTGCAGAAGAAAATGTTTATATATTTGATAAAATTAAAGAAATGATTATTAACAAAATGCCATGGATCCAAAAGTATAAAGTGCTTAACAAATTCTTACAAAAAAGATATGTCCAAAAATAAAGGATAGCTATGAGATATCTTAAATTAAAAAAGTACTTAATTAGTTAGGCATAAAAGAATCTTACAATAAAAAGTCAAAAAGGTGGAATTTTAATATCAAATCCAACCCATGATTATTCAACAAAATTAATATGATAATTCTAATTCAAAGGATATTTTTTTAAACAATCTATATATTTTTATTTATAATTTAAAGTTGAGATTTTTAAAGTAATTTAAATATCGCATAATTTAATATAAACAATTAGTTTCTCAAATTAAATACGAGATCCCTAGCCATCAGATTGTTTTTAATAAAATTAATAGCAATTTGAAGTATTTTTATTTATAATGAAGATAATTTATTATAATAATTTATTATTTCAAAAATCTAATAATTACAGGATTAATATCAGAAGCAATTATATCAAAAGTTTTCATTTAACATCTGGAATAATAATGCTCTATCAATTTTGTAAAAAGTTAAGAAGCCAATAGACAATTTAGTTTATTTTAATAATCTGATTCTTTCAAATAATTTGAATTAACTCAAGACAATATTTTGCCAAGTTATAAAAATTTTTTTTCAATTTATTTTCAATAGTTATTAGGCTATATGTTAATAGGATGTTAGCAATAAAAATGTAAATTAAAGTCATGCTATAAATAATAATTTATATAATAATTTAATCAAAAATCAATTAAGTAAAAGTTTAATTATAATAAGAAATATTAGTACATGCATTTGCATCCTTCTGTAAAGGAGTTCAGAAATTCATCGATTTAAACCTCATACAATTATTGATGTTTTTATTCAAGTTCTCTTAACTTTCCATTATTGTTAAAAATTATGATCCGTAAGATTTATATTTATTGTTCAAATTATTTAGAAATTTGGATTATTTTGAGTCGTATAATTTATTTACTGATAATTTATTAATTATATTTTTTACCTTGACAAAAATACCTAATAATTATTAAGAAACAATCTTTTTTTACAAAATGAAGTTGGGGAAAATTTACCATATCTTTGACATTTGAAAACCTTATGTAGTTATTCATATAATCTAAATTCAAATTAAGATTAATATGGATTATTATTTTTATTCATACTATTATAATTTTATGAGGAAAAGATAAAGATGTTGATATAAATCATCTAATAGACTAAAATATTGGCTCTTAACCAAATAAAAAAATTAATTTATAGAGTATTTAAATAAAAACAATAAGAATATATTTAAAAAAAATTTACACTAATTTAACATTTATATATGACCTATTTATTAAATATTAGATTATTATCCCTGCAATCGATCGATTTCTATAACTTTCTCTAATCTTCCTTTGATCTTTGGAAAACATTTATAATTTTTCAGAAAATTTAGTAAATTGGTCAGAATTCACACTTTTTTTTAATAATTAATTTAATATATTTGATTGGAAATAGCAGATAAAAAAATACAATCCTACTATATTCAATATGAGAAATTATAAACAATTTGAGTTAGGCAGCTAAACTTAATTTGAGCTTCTTGAATCTATTAAATAAGCTTATTTGACTTTCAAATATAAATAGTATTAAATAAAATAAATAAAGTATTAAGGACTTGAACATTCAGAATAATATTGATTTAACATTTTAGAATATCAATCTTTAGGAGAATTTCAGAAAGATTAAATTTAATTTGAATATATAAAAAATATACAAAATAAACATATATGCATCTTTGTTTTTTATCTAAAAAGTTTATTTATTTTATATAATAAACACAAATAAATAATTAATTTTTTGTTTATTTGCCGACTTAAGAATTGCATCCAAAAGTTAGCTTATTGAATATACTATATTGTATTATATAATTTATGTTAAATGTTAAAAAAACAGTAGAATTATTAGCTTAAAAAAATTAATCATAACTGTATTATATTTTTATTACAGATTAATTTTCAAATTAATTGAATTACTTCATTTGATTATCTATTTTAATGACATTTTTGATCTTTAATTAAAAAAAACAATCTCTATATATTTATTAAATTAATTAAATTGTAAAAGAGAAATAAAATATCTCAGTATATTTAAAGAATTTATAATAATAATTAGTTGACACAATTATTAAGAAATAGTCTTGAATATTATACCTAAATTATTTAGAATCAACTGCAAATAAGAAATTTGATCAAAATGATCTTGATATTCTAATAGATTAATCTATTCTAGGGGAAACTATAAGAAACGCCCAAAAAATACTGTATGCCAAACTATAGCTTCATAAAATAATAGGGTCATTATTTTATTATCCAAAAGGATCGTAACATTTGTTGAAAAACTATATTAGCAGGACCTTTAAGAAAACTACTTTAATATTTATTTTCAAGAAACAGCAATAATTGTGGTTTTGCATAACTCTGTGTATAAGAAATTTTGTACTTTTAATTTAATTTAATTATTCAAAATAAAAGATAATTTTCAATTTATCTTGCTTCTACATTTTATGAAAAAAATTAACTGTAATTAGGAAAATTGTCTGAATAAAAATATCTGAGGAAGAATAGATCAAAAAATCAATAATTAAAATATAAACTTATTTCGTAATTTTAAAGTAAAAGAATAATAAATTAGAGAAAAAGAGGATAACATGTTTTTTCAATTCAAGTAGCTTTACATTAAAAACAACATATCCTACTTTAATGAAGGAAAATTATGCTTTACTATAAAAACTTAATATCTTTCAAAGTGAAGAATAAGCTGGTTTTAAATGAGAAAACAAAACTACCAATTAAAATTACTAAGTAAAAAAAAAAATCAAATTTCATTAGAAATGAGAAGAAAACCTACTCATTAATATACTAAGATAATAATTAGAATAAATAATTTTTTGGTTATATATGCATCAAGTAATTTTTATACAAACTAGAATTCAAACCTAATTTAATAGAAAAAGAGGTAATATAATTATAATTATGTAATAAATAAATGTATTTTTATAAATCTTTTTCAATTTGCTAATGAGATATGCCTCTAATTGATATCAATTGCAAGAACAGCATTTCTTTCATATCCTTATTCACTAATACAGACATCATCTAAAGAAAATTAATTCAAACTTTCCTTTCTCATTTTTAATAGATCAACTATCGTTTTATCTATAGAATTTATTAGTTTAACATTGATTGGATTATTTAGATTTTCAGCTATATCTTTAAAAGCATTTTAAGCATCAAGAGCTCTCTAAAAGTCAGTTTTTATAGGTTTTAATATCGAATAATAATTTTATGATAAGTTAAACTATTTTGAATTTGGATCTAATGGAATTATGGGTTTTTAAAGATAATCAAAAACCTTAATCTAAGATTCTGTTAATAAGATCATTTTTAATTTATCTATTTCTTGCAGTTTCTTAAGTATATATAAAATATCCATTTATTTAATTATTTTTTGAAAGGAGTATTAAATTTAAAGACTTTTATAATTTTTAGAACTAAATAATAAATAAAGTTTACTTAACAAAGCAGTTTATGAAATAAAAATAATCAGTCCATTTCATTTTTAGCTTTTTCTAAATACTTTGAAAATATTATTTAATTGAAAATGAGATAGCTTTAGTTAATTATTATTTAGCCTCTTCCTTTGATCGATGATCTACAGTTAAGGAATCTATAAATTCGAATTATTTTTTTTTTATTTTTATAGATTATAATCTTTAAAGTGGTTTTTTTTTATTCTAAATAACTAATATTTCCCTGGCAGATTGTTATTATTTTCTTGTCGTTAATTCTTATTAAAGTGAATCTGGGTTTTAATCCTCTTTTATTTAATTTATAATTGTCTTTTTTTACTCTTATTCAAATTCAAATAAAGAATTTAAAATTCTTACATAATAAGATAACATATTTATTGGTTTTTATATTAGAAAAGCAGCAGTAAAGAATACTTACCAAAGTCCACCTATTTAACTTAAGATAATTTAAATTTTTGGGTAGTTTCTATAATATTATTATTCAATTTAATCTAATCGTATTACAACATTCATTATTAAGTCACTCTCATTTAAATCAATCATTTCTGTATGTCTTTTATATCTTAATGTGTTTTGAATTTAGTAATTTTCGCTTATAAGACCTAAATCTGTAAATACTGTTATTGGCTACATATAAAAAGATATTTCTTTAAAAATCTTACTAGATATAGTAGTGAAAATATCTTCTCCTTTTGTTAAAAAAGGATGATCTTCATTGTTCACATCTATAACATATGAGGACATTTATAATGAAAAATAGTTTTATTCTAACTATTTTTTAATTTCATCCCTTGATTTACACTCTTTTGATTTTTTTGTTAATTCATTGCAAATTTTAAATTAGAATAGAATAGAACTATAAACTTAAGAATCAAATGTGCCTTCTAGGCTTAACTCTTTTATTATATTCCAATCAATACAATAATTAGTTGGTAATACTAAATGAGAAAAATAATCTTGTAATTCAACTTACCGAATAAGTTTTGGAGTACAAGTAGTTAAAGGAAGATCTTTTGTTGTCCATTCATCGATTTTTTCATTACCAGCACTAATAATTTAATTCTATTAATACATTCTGGTGGTCTTAGTTTAAATTTTTGCTTCTACAACATAGACTGATTCATCTATATATGTATAAAAAGATGGAGATTAAAAAGCAAAAGTTAAGGTAAAATTTTATTCATTCAATTTGAATTATTGTGGTTATGCATGATAAATCTCGGTTGACAACGAATTTAGATTTTTTCTTTGTCTCATTTCATATAGGTTTAGAATAAGCAGGTAAAGGAAGAAAGTAATCAATCCCAAAGTTAGGCAAGCTCCAAATAAAGTTTTATGTCCTTATTCTTATTTTATCAATAGAAAGACAGGCTAAGAAAAAACATCCACTTTTTTTAGGAGTCTCAATATCTTTTTATGAAAATGATTAAGCATAGATATTATATGTAAATTAATTAAATTTGAAATATATAATTAATAATTTTAGTTAAAACAAATACCAATCAAAGAGAATAGCTATGAAGGTTTTCATCGCAAGACATCATAATCAATGAGAATATACAAATTTAAAATAAAACTGTATAGAAGATTCTAGAAATTTTTTTGTGGTCAGATTATAATCTTTTTGCACTGAACATATATTATACTTATTTAAGGAGTTAAATTATATTTTATTTATAAAGATTATTAAATGATAAATCAGTATTAAGGATACTACTCATTTATACTTAAAGATTTTGAGATTATATCAAGCTTTTTTTTGCACAACAAAAGAAGCAATTCTTCTTGAAAATATGTATGAAAAATAAAAGATATATATGGAGATATGATATTAATGATGATGGTCACCTGAAATTAACTAATGTCAGATTTCCATAGAAATATATATATATTCATATGAAATTCTTTATCATTTTTAAATAATAACATCTTAAATTGTCCTAATAACTAGAGCTTTTTATTTCTGGCTGCTTAAATAGAAGAAAGTAAAACTTGAAGAGTAATTTAATTGAATTTTTGTACAAAATCCAAATTTTTATCACTCATTTCAGAACTTAGTAATAGTTTATAAATACTTTATATGTATATCTTTTTACTTATTATTAAAGTGTAAATCATAATTTCTTATTGTCTTATCTCAATAAAATGGATCTGAAATATTTAAATTATAAATAATAATAAGAAACAATATGAAAAAATATTAATAGCATTGAAAAACATTATGATCAAAGAGTTAAAATTTAAGTTTCTTTAATAAATAGGATCAACCTATCAATTGCAAAAACATGAAAGAACTAGACTGAGCTCCAAAAAATATAATTGCAAAAATGGAGAGATAAACAGAAAATATTAAAGCTAATTTAAAGAGGAAATTGAGTAAAGTTTTTCTATCTAATAATGAGTGAAGTCTAAAGTTTGATGATTTTCTTAAAGGGTGTTAGACAATGCGTAAGTTTATTGTTTATATTTATGGTGGAATGGTGTATTTTTTTGGGACTCTGTAATGAAATTGAAAGTGAAAACATATAACATTTTGAAGATTAAGATTTCTAAGATGGTAATTCTATAAATATTGATGGATATTTCAATTTTAGTAAATTGAATGAATTGTAATTTTTTTCAGCAAGGATACAAAAGTCATTAAGTGTATTTCATTTCTTTTTGTATTTCTTTTCGCACTACTGGAACGCACATTACAAAGGCTCTTATAGAATTTAAACTAAAACTATCAATCTTTATATTCTGAACTTAATTAAATGTTGCATTATTATAATAAAATGTTATATCTTTCATTTTTATACTTTTTATAAAATTAACATAATAGAATGTTGATAATATTATTTTTGATTAGAAAATTAATTTAGAATTTATGGCCATAGTAAATAAGTATTGGTGATGAGTATTTAAGAAAAAGAATTAACTTATTAATTCTTCATTTTAAACATATGCATCGAATTAAATATAAATGTAATAAGAAATAGATAAAAAACAAATATTAATTTTCTATTGATTTGATAATATATTTCAAAAATCACTTTTATTTTGCCTATCAATAGGCATTGGACAAGAAGGATATACTTGATATTATTTTAACATTATGTTGAGATCTGCTTGTTATATTATTTTTTGCTTAAACCATTAAATATTTTTTAATTTTAAGATATCTATTTTTAATTCTATTTTTTTATACACTTCTATCTTACAACAATTTTTTGAATACAGAATATTTTTAAATTTTTGGTAATTTTTTGATGATATATTTTTTCATCGAATCAACCAATTCATAATTTTCAATATAAAATGATGATAATATTTCCTTTAAGATTTCTTTAAAATATTGTAAATTAAAGGCAATAAGAATAATATAATAGGGTATCTAAATTTCTTTTGACCCATTTTCATAATCTGTAAATATTCCAATTCCAACGGCAATAGATATTCCACATACTTTTGCTGAATAAGCATCTAGCTTATTGAGTGAGAAAATTAATAAGGTCGATATTTTTTACTTAGTTCATAATATAGGAATACTAAGGATAACAAAAGTATTCCCTTCTTTACTAAAAATTCTTAATAATATGAGAGGAAAATAATAAGAAACTATTTTATAAGAATTTTTATAATTTCCCAGTAATAAGCTTCTAACTTATATTCATTGTATAAGTATCCCCATTTTTATCTTGTTTTATTTTTATTGAATTTTTATTTATTTAGATACAAAGATAATAAGAAATATAAAGGAATAATCAAAGAGATTAAAATTAGTAGAGGTAAACAAAACATGAATAACCATTAATAGTGAGTTTATGTATCATATCTATTAGCAACATTAGCTTAAATCCAATAGAAACCAGATATATACCTAAATGATATCAATGAAATAAGTCCTCCCACCATAAATGGTTAAACATATATGTACATATAAATTATTGTTGTAGTTATAACATTTAAACTATATTTAAGCTTCTTCAATATTAAAGCAATTCCATATAATCCAAAAAACAAAAAAATGTAAATAAAAGGCACTATTAATTACCATATTATTCTTGAGTAATGAATTTGAATATCAAATATATCCTTTAATAAACAATCAAGTGAATGTGTCATTGTTTGAATTGGATTACTAATTGAATTAATAAAATTGCCTATTTCTAGTATTGATTTAAATTTAAATGTAAATATAACTGAAACTATTTGTAAATGATTAGTAATCATCTTGATTAGAATACCAAAATTAGAATGATATTAAAGTTTTTTCAAAAGTATTATTGAAATTATTTTTTAGATAATTATTTTTTCATTTAATAACACATTACTCTTGACAGAAATAAATATTGAAAATACTGTCCTAAAAATGTTATTATAAAAATATACCATAAGCTTATTGTTGTTATAGCAACTAGATTTTAATGATAATCGACACAAGAACCACAAGTATATTTGGAACTTGTTGAAAAGTGCCCAAATCCTCTGAAATTGTATATATCACATTCTTCACATAATGCTCCAATATGTCCTTCATAACATGATGTATATTATTATATTTTAATATATTTATATCACCTTTTATCCATCCACCATTACAATTATCTAGTAAATTGAGCTGTGATTCAGCTGTATTGTTTTTTAACAGAGAATCTTCAATCAAAGTTGTAATATCCTAAATTTAAACACAAGTATGATCACTTTATTGTTTAATAAATATGATTATATTATGAAATTGTTTTATCTATACCTTTGTAAGGATAGTTTTTGATGCAAATAAATTGTTGTAATCTAAAATCAAAATCTTTTTCAATGCTATTCAATAGTAAGGACTACAAAATTCTAGATTTTTGGGTAGATTTAATGATATTAAAGCAACTTTATTAACCACATTAATTTTACTAAATATAAATTTAATTCATCGTTATTTTGCTGTAATTATCCTAAATATTGACGTAAAGCAATCCTTTATTGCAAATTTTGAAATCAATATTTCTTAAATCTAATTTCGAAAATTATATCTTAGATAATCATGGATTTAAATCTAAAAGGCTCGATATTTGTAATTTTTTAAAATTAATTTTATTAATAACGCAATAACTTTATAATAAATAATCTTAGATTTAATTATGTTCCAAATAAAGGGGGGCATCCTATAGAGTAATTTCTTTAGAACATTATTGTTGTTCTTATTTTCCAATAGTTTATTCTAACAGAATACAACTTTCTTTAATAGGTATATGATCCAAAATTTATGTATTAATGACTGAAAAATNTTAGCAACATTAGCTTAAATCCAATAGAAACCAGATATATACCTAAATGATATCAATGAAATAAGTCCTCCCACCATAAATGGTTAAACATATATGTACATATAAATTATTGTTGTAGTTATAACATTTAAACTATATTTAAGCTTCTTCAATATTAAAGCAATTCCATATAATCCAAAAAACAAAAAAATGTAAATAAAAGGCACTATTAATTACCATATTATTCTTGAGTAATGAATTTGAATATCAAATATATCCTTTAATAAACAATCAAGTGAATGTGTCATTGTTTGAATTGGATTACTAATTGAATTAATAAAATTGCCTATTTCTAGTATTGATTTAAATTTAAATGTAAATATAACTGAAACTATTTGTAAATGATTAGTAATCATCTTGATTAGAATACCAAAATTAGAATGATATTAAAGTTTTTTCAAAAGTATTATTGAAATTATTTTTTAGATAATTATTTTTTCATTTAATAACACATTACTCTTGACAGAAATAAATATTGAAAATACTGTCCTAAAAATGTTATTATAAAAATATACCATAAGCTTATTGTTGTTATAGCAACTAGATTTTAATGATAATCGACACAAGAACCACAAGTATATTTGGAACTTGTTGAAAAGTGCCCAAATCCTCTGAAATTGTATATATCACATTCTTCACATAATGCTCCAATATGTCCTTCATAACATGATGTATATTATTATATTTTAATATATTTATATCACCTTTTATCCATCCACCATTACAATTATCTAGTAAATTGAGCTGTGATTCAGCTGTATTGTTTTTTAACAGAGAATCTTCAATCAAAGTTGTAATATCCTAAATTTAAACACAAGTACCTTTGTAAGGATAGTTTTTGATGCAAATAAATTGTTGTAATCTAAAATCAAAATCTTTTTCAATGCTATTCAATAGTAAGGACTACAAAATTCTAGATTTTTGGGTAGATTTAATGATATTAAAGCAACTTTATTAACCACATTAATTTTACTAAATATAAATTTAATTCATCGTTATTTTGCTGTAATTATCCTAAATATTGACGTAAAGCAATCCTTTATTGCAAATTTTGAAATCAATATTTCTTAAATCTAATTTCGAAAATTATATCTTAGATAATCATGGATTTAAATCTAAAAGGCTCGATATTTGTAATTTTTTAAAATTAATTTTATTAATAACGCAATAACTTTATAATAAATAATCTTAGATTTAATTATGTTCCAAATAAAGGGGGGCATCCTATAGAGTAATTTCTTTAGAACATTATTGTTGTTCTTATTTTCCAATAGTTTATTCTAACAGAATACAACTTTCTTTAATAGGTATATGATCCAAAATTTATGTATTAATGACTGAAAAATCAATAATTCTAACAGAAGAATTTTTCTACATGTAATCAAAGGAGATTAATGAATTTGATATTGTTGAATTTGATATTCTACAATTTAGTATTTCTATATTCAATATTTATGTGAAAATGGCCAATGACTCTTGATAAAACGAGTAAATAATTACTTTCCTTATACTCACAAATTTTCCAAATTTAATTTGGAACAAACTTCTCCCAATTTTTAATTCAGATGCTAATTAGTCATTTGCTTTAATAAATCTACCCATAAATGTTAAAAACTCTACATCGTATTTTTTGTGATCAAATTATCAAGTATAAAATTTTGTGTTGATTTTGCATATGATGAAAATTCAACATAAAATATAAATCCTTTTAAAGAATAGACATCATTAATATAAATATCTAATAATTAGATAGTAGTTGTTTCTAACACATTTTAAATATAGAGCAGGCCACCTTTATTTCTAAAATGAATATCATTTGCATGTATATTTTTTAAAACTATTATTTAAGAAACAGAGATTGATGCATCTATAAAAAAGGCCCCTCCATTCTCATCTTCATCTAAAAATAAAGACTGTATCGAACTAATGAGGATATCTTAGATTAATAGAGAAGCCTCCTTTTCTATGTAAATTTAAAATCCTGAACCTGTGGAATTAGTAATAGTGAGATTTTTTATAGATATTTGTTAGCAAATAATTTTTCCATTCCCAGCTTGTGATTTTATAGAAAAATGTTCATTGATTTATTCAATAAAAATCTTTTGATGCTCCTAATAATCCCAATTTAGATGAGGTTATAAAATTGAATAATCAAATAAGCTATTTTACATAAAAGTGCAATTATATCTTTCTATATTTTTGGTTTAAATAAAAAAAATACTATTAGAGGAATTTATACAATGATTTTAAAGAATTTTATTTTTTTAATTAGAAGGAAATATATTTAATGTTCTTATCTGTAACATTATTACTTTAAACTATTATTTTATTGAGAAATAAGCTACAAGATTTGCAATTTAACAACAAAATTAAACCTGTATTTATCTAATCCATATAAATATATTGATGCATGATATTTCTTTCAAAAATTGAATTTGTTATCTCTATTTGATAATCTTCTTCAGATGAAATTTTCAACAGTGAAGATAAATTTATTTTATTAGTAACTATCATCAGATTTTGAAAAAATTTCATTTCAGATAAATTCATAATTTTTTCTGTTTTTTTTGTTAATAAAAAGTTTTTATTTCCATTATAGGGTAATCAATAGAATATGCCGATGAAATCACTAATTATTTTATATCAATAAATGGTACATCCTAAATTTTAATTAAAAGGTTATTATATTAATCTGAAATAGATTTTATAAAGCAATCAAAGTTTTGATAAAGCATAATTATATTTAATTTAAATTTAAATGATTAGCATTTATAACAACTAAATCAGGTATACCATAAGCCTTAATTATGATTAATTTATCAATTTTCACAGATAATATTCCAAATAGACTAAACCTACATCTATGTTATTAAAGTTAATTGGATCATGCTTTGAAAATAATGTATTTTCAAGTATCGACAATGAATTAATAAGTATTTCCTTGTTTTATTACATGATTGAAGTTATTTTAATAAATGCAGCTTCTTCGTTATGCATGTTTAACTAGAATACAATATTCTCCAAAAACATATATTCGACATCAACCTTTTAATTTGATAACAGTATAGAATTATTGTAAAGTTGATTTCTATCAAAATTTAAATTCTTCAAAATTGCATTATTATTAATATTTAATATTATTCCTTAGTTAATCAAATTTGAAATGAAATCAAAGGATAGTAATTCAAAATATTTCAATTGACTAATTTAAAAAATGCCATTTTCTGATGATATTTCACAAGAATCAATTCTTATTTAATTGATTAATAATTAACCTTTAGCTTAATATATAATTGATTAATAATATAAAATTGATTTAATAATTTAAAATTTTAAAAAATTATTATGAAATCTGATAACTAATTTCTTTTTAAATACAATAATAATTTATTATTGTACCTGAGTATATTAATGCTTGATTGAAAATTGTTGTTTCAATCCTTAAGTTTAGTATTTTTACTTTATCATTTTCTTTGAGATCAAATTAAAATACATTTATATTCATAAATTTGCTATCTTTAATACTAAAATTCAATATTTTTATTGTCTACTAGGATTATATTTATTTAATCTTTACAAAAGCTTCAATAGGAAATTGTCTTTTGCAATCTTTTAATCCGAAATTTTGTATTAAAACATTCATAGCATTTTCCATTATAACATAACAAGTAATCAATTTAAAATCTTATAAATATGTCAAATCAACCAATTCAATAGTCTATTCAAAAACACTTGAAAATCTTAATAAATTTGGTCCAAATTAATAATAACCTATTTCTATTATTACTCCTTCAATATGTATTCTTTTGAAGTTTATAAATAATAGTTATTTATAAAATCTAAATGTTGTAATTCCATAACCATAAATTTCAAGTTCTATGTCTCTAGTTTACTTAATAATTATTAATACATAGCTGAAAAAATATT